GTTTTAGATATAACATAAACACTATGTCACAAACAGTTGCAGATGCTCATTTTGCTGCACAAGTTTGAACCACAATATATTATTCCTATGTACCATGTGAATAAACGTTTTCGTTTGTAAGCAATCTCTTTCATTTATTTACTCAACTTAATTTAAACAATGATATTTCCACATTATTTTCTTTAAAAAATGAATCATTTATTAAAACTGGATCCACGAATAATAAATTTGGCAGTATTGATTGAAACGTGATGTTCTCTCTAATTATATTTATTACACTTGTGGGCTCAATTGGAATCAAATTTGACTCTTATTACAAAATATGATATGTACCTCATTTGTTACATTACATACTATTATATATAAATCATTTGATCCCGCTCAAAATAGCCATAAATTATTAGTTAACTCATTATTCATCCTTTACCTACCATATATATACATATATATTAGGGTGGTCCTTAATATGGACATTTTCGAATTTCCTTGCAATACATTTCAGCTGCAGTTTTACCCTTAGAAAATTTATTCAAAATGCCGTTTTTCTGAAGGATGTTTCATTCAACTACATTCATTCACTAAAATTTAAAAAAAAATATAATAAGCAACAATAGTGTTCAAAAATCAAAAGTAAAGCAATAAAAAGTACTTACAATTTACAATAAAAATATTAATATTAAAATTTCGTTTGCTTATGACTTTGTTGCTATGTAACTGCAAGAATAAACCCTCTATAAATCTTCGTTTAAATAAATTCTTTTCGAAATATAAGTATTATGTATATAAATATAAATCTCTGTGACATTTCTATTCTAGACTAAGATAATAGTCAGAACATAGTTTTGATATCTTATTATATGTATTCATGTATACTTGTGATGTCAAAAAATATATATTTCACCATTCTTGTACCATGAAGTAATAGTGTTTTAATTATTAGCAAACTATAAATATTTTAGATGGATTTTTATTCATAATTCGTTACATGTATTTACTTTGATTTAATTATTATAGTTATTTTTCATTTTTCATAACCAAGATATATTATATCAACATGAAACTCAAGATTATATAAGGGAAAACAATATTAATTCTTTTACTGATCCAATAAAGGCTTTACTCCTAATTGAAAAAGTTTAGATTAGATGAGAATCTTGTTAATAAAATTACGCGCCAACATTTTAAATACTTCATAAAAATAATTTAAAATACTCAATGTTACAATTTTAGTCATACATATTCTATTTCTTCATTTTTTCTACTTAGATAGCAGTTTTGGAAGCAATGTAGTAACTAATTATAACAGCCCATTACAAACACAATAAATAGAAGCAATTTGGTTTTATGGCCAGCTCAGGTTATTTTGACTGCTTGATGTTTGTGGAAAATGAAATAAAAGCTATTCTTTCAAAATAAAGTTGTAAAATGAAAAAATAATAGAGTAAGTGGATATGAAACCTATTTTTTAACTAGTGAAATAAGTAAAATAAAATGATCTAACATAAGCTTTATAAATATGTTATTTTTGTATAATATATATATATATATATATATATATATATATATACGAGTATATATATATATATATATATATATATACACAAATATTATACGTCTTCCCATTGTTGATTCTATGTCCTCCATATCGACACTTTCAACAATAGAAACCCAACTATTTCTTATCATCAAACAAAGGTGCGGTATTTAGTCGGAATTGTCTAAAATTGCACTAAACCGCCATTGTCACTTATCACCATGTTAAGTAATTTGCATAATGAAATCTTCCAATAATCGGCTAATTAGTTACTCCACTCAGAATAATGAAAATACGTCTCTATTTTGACAGCACCTCAGTTGCTCTGAGCAATCATACTAATTAATTGTTACAGATGATGATTCATGAGAAATGATACTCCCAGGAGGAATTGTTTTAGGACAAACATTGATAGAAATGAAAATTATTAACTTCACGAAGGAGAAGTTTGTTTTCGCCAGAAAATCCGATTTGCCCTACTTTTCAGGTCATTCTGAATCATCTGACACCAACACCATTGTAAGAATTATGTTTGTGATGGGGAATGCAAGACAAGTTGACCAATCGTGGACGTTTTCTCAAAAATGGCTCACCAATTTAAAAAGAAAAATGAAAACAATTTGATGTAAGACTGTGATCTGAAGAATTTCATGACTAATATAAAATAGTGTTGCCTTCATTTATTATTAGATGAAGTAGAGCAGGACTTAAAAGTCCGCGGGTAAAAAGGACCACCCCCGATATCTCAAAAACAAGTGAAGCTAAAAATTTGTTAAGAACAATATTTGAAAGTAGAAGGAAAACGATGTATAACCAGCCATCACCTTGATTCTCCTGACGTTGCTATCGAAAGATAAACTGAAATGTTTGAAAATTCATAAATTTGAAAATTTAATTTAAAAATCTTTTTTTTTATTTAATGCATTTATTTGACTAAATTATATAAAGTGAGTATTCTATATATTACTCATGTAGTAATACTCATGAATCACTAACAAAATGTACTTTAAATAATTGAGTTGTAAATTAATTGTACATATAAATATTGAAGTATGTTTAAATGACAAAAGCACGTTTTTTGGTAAGACATTATTTATTTAGAGAGTATTTACTATATATACGCTTGCGATGGCTCGTTATTTTTCAGAACTCGTTCATTTTTTTATTAGGATAATATGACATTTTTATTAATCTATTTGAAGAAAATAAGCCATGCCGATGTATTCTATTGAAGTCATTTCAATGAGATGTATTACTTTTTATCAAAAGTATCTAAAATACTTCAATGTTCCAATAAATGTTTTATTGAAGAGCATGACTGTCCAATTACGTTGCGAAATATCAAAATTGTCCCAAAAGAAGTATGTACTGAAATATCATCCTGCATAGGAAAACTGTACAATGAAGCAATTTCCAAGGCAAACACTATTTTGTTATGGATATACCTCATTATGCTATGACAAAATGTGGTTCATATAAAATCCGTTCGTCGTTCTTGTTATCTTGTTATTGGAAACACTCGAAAAAATAGGATCCATAACGCCTAGTGTAATTTATAACGCACGTGAAACTTCGCAATTCAAATAAATTATATATATATATATATATATATATATATATATATATATATATATATATATATAGCAAAACGAGAATTGATTCTGATAAGACAGAATGATGGACATTGAAAATACAACAATGAAATGAAATTGATTTGGAAAGTGACAGTCGGATTAAGGTTATTCTATATCGACGTAGAATATACGATTTTCATCTTTATCTTTTTATTATTTGCAATCTATTATATTTATATAATGTAATATGGTAACCCGGGGCACAAAGGTCCAACTCGAACCTGAGCGATTATATTGTGGGAATCAAACCAATTATATCGCAACAAATATATTCAACAAACAAACAGCTATCTGACTATGTTCACTAAAACTCCCAGCTAAATCATCATTGTAGAAATAAGATTTTTTGCTAATTTTCAAAAATTTTATCACCTGAATGGGAAGGCACTAGTTCCAACGCAATATTTTTAATTTTAAATGAATTTTACGAAATAATAGCTGCATTTTTTGCAAAATATAAATTTCATGTGTGCATTTTTACATAGACAACACTGTATAAAATTTGATCTGGTATCCAGCAGCTTCAGAATTTTAATGACTTACTGATAAAATAGTAAAATTTTGCTCTTAATCCAAAATTAGTGCCCAAAAGTTATATGAATTGGATTTAATAAATGGATGCATTAAATTCGCTTGATCAATTATTAACTTCCCGTAGGGTAAGTTATAGTAATCGCAAAAAAATCGAAAACGAAAATTTTTATATATCTTTACGTTTCAGAGGTTTCTGAATATTTTGGCATACCTTAGAAAAAATGGATGTATGTGTGTGTGTGCGTGTATGTGTGTGTGTTCGGATACAAATTTTCGTCGACGATTTCGGGAACACGGATGAAGCGATTTGAATAATTCAAAAAACATTCGATTCGTATTGATAAAGAGACGTGCTGATTAGTTTTTGGCGAACGCAGGTCTAGCCGTTCCGAAGATATGGGGTAAAAAGTGCAAAAAACGGTAACTCAGTTTTTAAGAGAACGGAGCGTCCGATTTGAATAATTCAAAAAACATTTTACTTGTATTAACAAGATGAAGAAGTGATAAAGTTAAGTTAAGTCATAAAGGCAGGTCTAACGGTTTCGGAGATCTAGTAAAAAAAGTTAAAAAAATGCCAACTGGCGGTCAAAAATGATCATTAGACATATGCACAACAAATTATCAGATATTTTATAGAGATTTTAACAATAAGTATAAATTTTGTTTACATTCCTATGGGTTCCGTACCAATGCTTATCCGTTAGACGGCGGCGCGGTGCTTACGCGCTTCGATATTTCGTCTCTATACAGTTAAAGCAGTACGATTGCTTTGAAAAAAAGTTCAGAATTTGCAAAATATTTCAAAATACACTTTTCTTCATAAAGTCTTTTTTTCAAAAAAAAGTAAATTTTTGTCAAAAATTTATAGTTTCTCAAAAATCTACTTTTTCAGAGAATTTTTTTTTCGAAAATGTTAATCTTTTTAAAAAAAAATGATACGGGTAGTTCCAGCAATTTGCCTTAAGGCACGATGCCATGCGCTCCACTAGTTATAAATATATTTGAGTTAAAAGATAAAACGCGAGTCAATTGCCAAAAGCAACAAAAGGCAAGATTAGGAACCTCTGATCATGATTTCATGTAAACCATCCAGCTCTTCGCCGCTGACAGCAGCCGACGCGCGCGCCTCCGCCTGGCCGATTTTCCCGACGCCATACGGCCGCTCGTTCCGCGTCAGTTTTGAGTTCGCGATCGCTCGGTACGGTCGTTAATGTTAATGTTCTTTCAATCCTGGACAATCCTGGTGCTGGCCATAGCCGCTACGCATGCCTTCAACAAATGCTGCCCGGCTGGCCAATCGCTCGTCAGATTCAAGGGACAACCTAAATGCAATGACACTTCGGAAACAGGATGGTTCCTGCGTTCAAACGGATTTGACTCCGGATATAATTTACCGAATTGTTCAGGCGAGGTGATTCATGAAGTGTTGGTCCATGGACAAAGGTACCCGAAAGATTCTTGTGTTGATACTTTTGGTGCAGATCCTAATATTACGCAAGTGCTTCATTGTGGTGAAGAAAAAGCTAAGTTTTCCGAAAAAGTTGTAGTGAAAAAACCGTTTCAAATGCATAAATGTTGCCCGGAAAATAGTTTTTATAATGCCACAAAACATGAGTGTGAGAACTTCGAAATCGAAATGACTCTGACTGAAAAATACTCGTACATCATACTTGATCGTGAACCAGCTTTGTTCTATGTAAACATCAGCATTCCGCGATGTGAGTACGCTTTAGTCGACTATTCTATTGATAATTATGATCTAACTATGGACCAAGAAACTGGTGACCTCAAAGTGACTATAAGGAAACGAAATGAACATATGATATTTGATAAAGGAACTTTTTGCCGTGATGTGACAAGTGAGGGAAAATCTATTGCCAGGGTTTGTCATCAACACCATCAACCCGTTTGTGTTGACAGACCATGTGTGAGAAAATGTTGCAATGATGGCGAGGTTGGTGAAATATTTTGCAAAATATTTTTTACAATACATTCCAAATAGATATGTATTATATACGTGTATATGCATGTATATTATCATATTCTTCATGACATGATTTATTATTGTATTTTATTTTGAAGTGAAGAACAATATTATCACACATAATAAAAATTTTATCTGCTTCTCGTCTACGAAACTATAAATATGGCATTTCTGAAGTTTTAATCATTAAATAAGCATAATTGAATTCAGTTAGCGATTAGACAAATACTTATATTTTCTGATACCAAAATATCCGGAAACTAATTTAAACAAAAACAGATATAATATATATTATATATATGTTTCCCAAAGAATCAATCCCATACATAAAAAATAGTAAGTTTTATGTAAATGTTTAATTACGACGTTTCAGAGCTAGATATGTTTATCAGGATTTTCTGCAATATCATTCTATAAGTCCATATCAATCATTTTTGCAGAATATTTGAATATTTGACTTCATTTCACTTAGAAAATAGTTGTAAAAATACCAATGCCTTGCAAAAAATGAGTGATATGGATTTATAGAAAATATTATATATATATTGTAGAAAAATCTGATAATAAAACGTATCTAGTTCCGAAACGTCGTAATCGAAAAAAACTTATTGTTTTTTGTTTATTCGATCAATTATTCGGGAAATAAAATTCATTCAAATTATTAAAAAATCCAGGATTTTTTTTATTTATCAGAAGCCAGTAAATCAGACCAGGAAAAACTGCCACAGTTCGTTTTGGGTAATAATGGATTAAGCATCATTGTTTTGTAAAAATTATTAGAATATACTTGTTTTATGTCAGTATTGTTTAATTTTGTGTATTGGTTTTTACTGCTTTGATTTACTGAGTTATGACATAAAATAAGAGTCAAAATGTATAAATTTGCTGCAAATTATAACAAATATGCTTCAACATCGAAAAAGCAACCAAGTTATTTTTTATTATTATGTGCTATGTTTAATTTTAACACATATTTCTCTTCAAGAAGAAGCCTAAATAAAATTGCATGAAAGGAAATTAAGGAAACCTTATAACTTTGGACCTTTCCGAAATTGAATATCAGTAAAAGCTTTCCCACATAACAATTGAAAATTAACAGAGCTGCATTTATCATTTAAAGAATTCTATTAATAAAATTCTAAAAATGAGGCGAAATAAACCACTATTCTAAATTTAAAATTTCACATATGCATCTCTACATATTTCTTATTCTTATGAATAAATTCTATTTTTATTCATGAATAGTTTATATATATAAAATGTATACGTTAAAGAATAATTCACACGCCTTCTTCTCGAACATTATAAATATTTACTGGAAGTAGAAATTCAAAGTTATTCACAAGTAATAGATGAAAAGTGACAGCCTACTGAGGCAGAAAACTCGTAAATCAAAAATATGGAAATCATAACATATTTATTTTGATCATTCTATGAAAATTGTTTACTTTGTGAAAATTCATAGTTAGCAAACAGAATTTATAGTACATTTCCAACGAAATCTAATAATAAACGCGAAACAATAAGTTTAACTTATCAGAATAGATCAGATAGAATTATTTTAGAGAATAGATAGAATTATTTTAGTTCATATTCTACTTAAATGTATGAATAAAATATATTTAGGATTTGATTTCAAAGTACATAGAATGCTTGAAGTAAAAAAGATTGGCCTTAGCTCAAGTAATATCACAAAACAAATGATATAATTTAATTTAATTTAATTTAATTATTCATCATCAGTTAGTGAATATTTATAATGAATAAATAATTGATGTAATATTGTTTGCCATATACCCAAATAATTAATTAAATATATTAAATATCAATTGAACAACCACTGCTCGATGCAAATTGTAATACCGATTAATAAGTGGATATACTCTTTGAAAAAAAAAATTACATAAATTAGTAGAATTATAGATTAAGAAGGTTTTCAACTTTTAAATAAATAAAAATACACATTTGTTTATTTATTCATTTCGAAACATGCTATTTAATAAATAAATAAATAAATAAAATAAATAGTAACAACAAAATAATATATAAATTGAAAAAAATAATGTATATCAAGCAGAAAAAGGCTTCCAAAAACAAACAAAAAATGTTACAAAATTCTAGTACAATTTTATTTTTGATATAAAAAACCATAAATTATAATTCGTGACGAAACAAAAATTTTATCAAAATTTAAATTGACCAAAACCTCAAAAACCAAAAAATAAAAACGAATGTGAAAATGTAACACTAAATATTAAAAATCATATCAGATTTATAAACTGTAGAAGAATTTAAATAAATAAATCGAGATTTTGCAAATGTTCTGAGGTCAGTCTGTTTTTACTCATATGAATGGTGAGATGATTTTTGATTAAAGAAGTATTTAAAATGACATGTTCAGAGAACATAGTTTTGAATTGTTTAGGATTGTCGGAATAAAAAATATGTTGATACATTCCCTTGTAAATATATTGAAAACTTTCGCCAATATCGCATATATCACAATCATTAAAATTTATTATATATATATATATATATATATATATATATATATATATATTATATTATATATATTATATATATAATGTTATATATAACATATATAGTTAATTGTTTCATTATTTTGTAATTTATTAGTTGGCAAAACTAGAGTGAGACTGAAAGCCTAATTGGGCTTAAAATTGGGATAAAAATAATGTTGATCAAGTGAGACAAAAAAACGATCTCTAATAGTTTAAAAATTCCAATTATTATATTTGAAATACATTTCTGTGGCGCAATCGAGATTTCCACAATTTATGAAAGTTAAAATACGCGAATCTAGGAAATTCGTCATAAATTAGGCGAATCTATGATTTTCCTCATAAAATCCGTGATCTACGAAAAATTAAGTTGCCGAACGTAAACATAGTATCCGTTACAAGATACGTGTGAATATATTTTCGATGATTTAATAACACCTTTTATCGGTATTAAAACAAACATTAATATAACCCAGTAGCGGTAGCAAAAACGCGATAACAACATTCACATTGATGTTTATAAAACAATAAGTTATCTATGGGTATTAATATCACGGCGATCCTTGGAATTATTGGAGATTATGTCAAAAAAGTGACGAGGAGTCAGTTATATTTGTATCAGGAGTTTTTATTAACTGAAATTAATTTTGATGGGAGAATTTATTGATTTTGGTTGGATAATGGAATCGGAATTAACTCACTCTCATGAACATATTTACGTAATTTCAGAAAAAAAGTAAACCTGTAAGAGAGTATTTAAATAGAGACCTCAACTTAACTGGAGGTCTTATAAGTGGAGACCTCGACTTAATTTAAGCCTATGTTAAAAATGTTCTAATACCGGACTGGAGACCTCAACTTAACTCTTAGCCCTTATAGGACATCAATGGAACATGATCTGTATCAGATTTTGTTGTTATTTTATGGAAGAATATATTGATGTTAAAATTATTATTTTAACTATGTTGAAAATTTTCTAATACCATACTGGAGACCTCAACTTAACTCTTAGCCCTTATAGGAATTCAATAATTAATTAATGGAATCAGATATTTTTGCTGTTTTATGGAAGAATATATTGATTCTGCTCTTATAGGACTAAACCTATGTTAAAAATGTTCTAATACCATATGGGAGAACTGAACTTAACCCTTAGCCCTTTGAGGACGTCAATGGCATAGGATTTCCATGATATATTTAACAAAGTTTTCGCAGTTTTCATTTTTTCAAATTTTCAAAGACTCCATCAATGTCCATGATATATTTATTTAACTCTAAGCCCTCATAGGACATTATTGGAACAGGATCTATATCATGTTTTGTTGATATTTTATGGAAGAATATATTGATTTTACTTGACCTACTACTATTAAACCTACTATTAAAATTATTATTTTACCTATGTTAAAAAATTTCTAATACCAATCTGGAGACCTCAACTTAACTCTTAGCCCTTATAGGACATATCAATGGAACAGGATTTGTACCAGAATTTTTTTTGTTATTTTATGGAAGAATATATAGATTTTGCTTGATTATTAAAATCGATTAGTAAAACCGTAGATGTCACAATTCAAAATTAAGTTTGTGGAAAAATATATTGATTAAGTTTGACAGTTTATATTTCGGTAAATGAGCTGATAATTTAACTAGAAGTGAAAATTTTTACTTCCACCTATTTTTTTTTTGGAAACTCATATACTGACTTCAAACTTTTCTAACTGTAGATATCAACTGAGCTTTTGGCTCACCATAAGGTAAAATTGTCCTATATTGAGAAACAGTAAAAAAATTAGAATTTGCTAAAAACAATCGTTAATTTTCAAATTTTAAATTTCAAAGAAAGCATTGAGATTCAAAAGTAGAATAAGTTATTTCATAAACTGTTATTAATTAACATGAAGTATTAGATTCCGTAAAATTCGTCTCAAAATATTTGTAACTTTCTATTGGATTACGCTAGCAAAACTCCTAAATTTTCAAAAAAGTCTATCAAATCTACCTAAAATATTAGCAATCATGTGTTAATAATAATCGGTTCTCATACTAATAAATTTAAAAATGTATTTAGAGTTTATTATTTTGGTTGTGTTTTATTTATTCAGAGTATAATGACTTGTATCCACGTTACACCCAAAATACTATTTGATTTAATTAAGTATTTTGTTCACAAATAGCTCATGACTCACGGGAAAGTAATTATATATGCATCAAGCGATAAAAATTAACCTTTAAAAACAGTTTGCGGGCAAGGTGTGCGATAAGAATTTTTGTTCAAAAATTATGCCCATTGTATAATAATTACTATAAACTTAAAAATTGAATTCAAAAGAATCCATTAATTTTCCAGTTTTCTTTCTATCTCCCATTGAACTAATCATAACTTTCCACAAGTATAGAGATTATCGAAAAATAGTATAAATATAAATATATGTATATTCTTATTATTTTAAAATTTTGGGTAAATTTTCACGTAGAGTACCATAAATATTTTTAACAAGCCAAAAATACTGTTTTCAAGAAAATTAAAATAAAATATATAATTATAAGCTATGTTCCTCCAATCTTATGTTCAAACTTTATAATTATTGATTCCATGCTGGAATTTTTATTAAATACCATTAACTGACTATCCAAACATATAAAATTAATTAAAAATGTTGCTTGCTGTGTCATTATATTCCCTGTACAAAGTTTTCCGAATTAAAGTCGTTTGCCAATCGTTAACAAAGAATCGTATTGACACTTCGTCACAAAGAGCTTAATTGCGTTCACACATTTCCTAGACGGACATTAAATTGTTATTTAATAGACCATTTGTGTATATATTTCTATTTAATTTGTACACGCTGTTTTATTAAGTTCGTTAAAAGCTAATAACTAAAACAAACTATTAGAGGGAATCTGAGGGGTAGATGATCAAGTTCTAGACGTGGTCAACTATCGGACGCCAGTAAATATAACCAAGTAAAAAAAAACTCCTGACGCCAATCAATTGTTATTATTCATCCACCATTGGGCTTAGCTGCATATAAAAAATATATAAGCTAAGACTATTAGATATACATATCACAAGATAAGAGTGGTTGACCACTGGGTTGCCCTCATAAGACCAACAGATCTAGGTAAGATCTACGTCAGAATAATTGCTTGTACTACACTTGCTGTTCAAATAGAACAAAAAAATCCTCAACTATCAAAAATAAGAGTAGTTGACCATTGGGTTCCCCTCTTAAGACCAACAGATCTAGGTAAGATGTACGTCAGATCAACTGCTTATACTATACTTGCTGTTCAAATAGAAAAAAACTCCACTATCAAAAATAAGAGTAGATAACCATTGGGTTTTACTCTTAAGACCAACAGGTCTAAATAAGATGTACGTCAGAATAACTGCTTATACTGCATTTGCTGTTCAAATAGAACAAAAAAAAAATCATCCACTATCAAAAATAAGAGTAGTTGACCATAGGGTTTTCCTCTTAAGACCAAGAGATCTAGGTAAGATGTACGTCAGAATAATTGCTTATACTACACTTGCTGTTCAAATAAAAAAAAATCCTTCACTATCAAAAATAAGAGTAGTTGACCATTGAGTTTCAGAATAACTGCTTATACTACACTTGCTGTTCAAATAGAACAAAAAAATCCTCCACTATCAAAAATAAGAGTAGTTGACCATTGGGTTCCCCTCTTAAGACCAACAGATCTAGGTAAGATGTACGTCAGATCAACTGCTTATACTATACTTGCTGTTCAAATAGAAAAAAACTCCACTATCAAAAATAAGAGTAGATAACCATTGGGTTTTACTCTTAAGACCAACAGGTCTAAATAAGATGTACGTCAGAATAACTGCTTATACTGCATTTGCTGTTCAAATAGAACAAAAAAAAAATCATCCACTATCAAAAATAAGAGTAGTTGACCATAGGGTTTTCCTCTTAAGACCAAGAGATCTAGGTAAGATGTACGTCAGAATAATTGCTTATACTACACTTGCTGTTCAAATAAAAAAAATTCTTCACTATCAAAAATAAGAGTAGTTGACCATTGAGTTTCAGAATAACTGCTTATACTACACTTGCTGTTCAAATAGAACAAAAAAATCCTCCACTATCAAAAATATGTCCTATGGTCTGTTTAATAACTGTTAAAGTCGATAGCTTCTCAGATATCTCTGTATTTCAATAATTCTGGTATCTCTTAATATCCATCACATTATTCTACAAACAAATATCTCGTAATTATATTGCTATCACTTTGAGGCCTAGACAATATGATAATAATTCTTTGAAGTATCAAACAGACTATAGATTCCTTTACAATATAGGATTACTTAGTAATAAAATACATTTTTAACTCATTACTCTTATTACCATTACATTGAAAATATCTCCGCAATATTTATTTTAACTCAAAGTTTAGAGCATATTATAAATAAATGAAACATTAAAACAATATCTTGCAATTTTAAACAAACTTTATGGTAGACTCATAATAAACAAAATTTAACTCTGTCATCAACGAAATTAGTTGGAAAGCTTTGGTATATTTCTTTTTGTTTTCAAAATGGTAATTTTATACCGCATGAATCATAAAAATATTTGTTTTGTCTTAAATTGAAAATGTAAAATTAATTTGATAAAATATTGTGCAACAAGGATGAGCATGTGAATTTACGTTTTTAGATGTACTGGGTAGATCAATGTGGAGAAAAACCAACTTGTAAGCCAAAACCTTATGGTTTTACTCCAATGTTTCACCAAGTTTCAGGAAAAGAAAACATTTACACTATCCCTGATGACATATATATTTCAGGTAATATTTAAATTTTATATAAAAAAAAATTGTGTAAACCTAGAATGCATTTTTTGGTATCAGTCTGTCTTAAATTCATCTTATGACCTTGTCTCATTTTTTTCAACTATACAGAAATTCTGAAATAAATAATTTTTTCTTCCAAATAAATTTTGTTGCTCTGTAATATATCATTTATTTATTAGATTATGCCATCATCTTTGGAGATCCTTGCATAATTAACAGAAAATTTGCCTTAAACAAAGGCGTAAAGAACGACACTAGTTTTCTAGACATCGAAAGTGGTCACCTTATTGTTCCTCTATATGAAGATTCACTACACGAACATCATCAATATTGTTTGGAGCAAGTTTTTAAAGTAGGTTGTGATGCAAATGGATCAATTACAGAAATTCCACATATGGATGGATTGTACACATTTCTTTGTTACAAAGATTTACCAAAAGAGCAACAGTTGCGGAGAGCGGCATTGGGTAAAAATCATCAAAAAATGATCCATAAAATTCAAGTTTGTTTTGTTATGTGATTTTTATTATTTCCAGCGCTGATTGCTTCTTGTGTTTTCGTTGGTGCAACAATTCTGGTTTATTTACTGATACCTAAATTGCGAAATCTCCATGGAAAAACATTACTTTGTTATCTAGGTGCAATGTTGGCTGCTTCCGCAGCCTTAAGTTATGTCCAGTTAGAAATCCGTGTAGAAGACAAAAAAGCCTGTAAAGGTTTAGGTAAATCAAACTTTTAATTCCAAACAATTAGAATCCCTTTATGGTTTAGTTTTGTAACCGGAATTTATTTACAGGTTATTTTATATATTTTTCGTTCATGGTAGCTTTCTTCTGGTTAAACGTAATGTGTTATGATATTTGGTCGACTTTTGGGTAAGCAAAATAATAGACCTGTTGAATAATTGTTTGATACTGAAATTGCTAAATTATCTACTATTTTACAGGTCTATAACAGATATGGGAGGAATGCGACAGAAACGCGACAAACGAAGGTTTCTTTATTACAGTTTATATTCATTTTCTGTTCCATCAATAATAACGACATATACTGGAGTCATGGATCATTGGGACTTTTATGGACATGATAGCAAACTCAATCCTGATATTGGTTATAAAAAATGTTTCATTTCAAGTAAGAAAATAATTTGTGCAAAACAATATATACAAATAAAACGAGCAGTTCATCATGGAACTCATCATACACTCAATAAATTTAGTAAAATATTTTTACTGTTTTCAGATAATTTATCAAATGTAGTTCATTTTGTAACTCCTTTATTGATAACCAGCATAGCAAATATTGTATTTTTCATCCTAACTGCGAGACACTGCATAAGAGTCAAACAAGAAATTAACAGAATGCAATCAAGAAATTGCGAAATGGCCAAAAAATTTGAAGCAGACAAATCCAAATTTATGGTGACACTCAAACTATTTTTGGTGATGGGGGTCGCTTGGTCTTCAGAATTTATATCAGGCATAATTCATAGAGAGAAATATTTTTGGTACGTTGCAGACTACATAAATGCTCTGTATGGCATTCCCATTTTTATCATATTTGTTCTCAAACGAAATGTTTTTGAACTGATAAAGACAAAATTAGGTGAGTAATTGAGGTGTTAACAATATCGTAGAGTAATTACATGTGTAACGTAATTTTAAGAAATATTCGTTATACAGTTTCATAATTTAAAAGTTCTTCAAAAGTAAGATAAAATGCAACAAACATTCCAACTCTCAGATGTTAAATTTATAAGTACATTTATATATAATTCCAGCTTTATACACTGGCAGCAATAAACATAAACTTGCATTTGCATACTGAAGATTAAACTAATTTAATGGGGTGCAAAGCAATCATCATTAATAATTACTAATATAAACAATGATAGTTAAAAATTCCGCTTAAGTTAAGCATGTACACATAAACATTTTACATTTCACCCATTTGTTTACAGGGTGCGCTAAAACTAGAAGACCATCAAATGTTGCGGTTACCGCTACCACATCTTTGGAAAACCAAACTAAAAGCTAGATTGCTTTTATTAATGCTTAACAACACACCATTTTTAATATTAGAATACAGCACCAAATTTATACGATAGGAAAACAGAAATATTTAATTTGATTTGATTATGCTGTGGGAATGAACACGCTTAGGACACACACTATACAGATCTGATTAATACATCAGCCTTGCATGTTGTACGTACGTTTATATTTGCACCAAACACTTGCAATTGACCAATTTCTTCAGGAATTATTCATAGATCGCACAAGAGCCATACAAAACAATAGCATATCCATTTTTAATAAAAATGAAACATATAAAGTAAGGCTGAAACTATTTTTAAAAAAGGTAATCATCATGACATTTTATAAGTAAGTTAAACTTATTGTTAGTTATATAAAGAAGGAATAACGAAACATAAAAATTATTATTGTATAATATTGTACGAGCCTTATTTATAAAAATGAAAAGTAATTCATACCAATTTTATTTTTATGCATTTTAACTACTATTTGTTGTATAAATTTAACTCAATTATTAAATACAAACTTATGTCATCTTTTTTATGTTTTCTACATTTAAATTAGTTACTCATTTTCATTGAATTTAATATAAAATTTAAAAAATCTGCCAATTATAGACTAGTCATTAATAAATTATTGCTTTTAGGAAATATATTTCTATATATCTGCATACATTTTGCTTTATATAATTAAATTTATATGTATATATGTAAAATATCTAAGCATTATTTTTAAATTTATTATAAATTATATTAAGTATATTTCAATTATCAAATAGTTGATTTCTAAATGTGTTGAACAAAATTGTTACTAAAATACAAAATTCTTTAACTATTTTTTAAATTGTATTAAGTCAACATCAATATCTACTGATGTTTTTTTGTGAAAACGATATGTAGATGGTAAGTCATATCTAAGCTGAGCTATTACTTTAGCTTCCACATTCCACTCTCTAGCTTTTTTTAATATATGTGCCCTGCAAATAATATTTATGAATATATAAAAGAAAAATGTATATGCTTAATAAATTATTTTTCATGCTTAAGATGAAATGTGTAATTATATAAAAGAACAATTATTATATACAAATACATATTAGAATATCTACCTTGTTGAAGTTTTATGTAAGGAATAGACAGATGCTTTCGAAATTCTTAGCGCAGTCTGAAGAAACTTCATATCAATTCCAGCATTATGTTTTGTACCGAATGGGGGATTTAGAACTACAGTGTCAAAAAGAGAATTCCACCTATATATAAATCCAGCACTTATTTATGATCTAATATATAAAAATAGTTAGTTAGTGCACAACATACCGCTCACCAAGACCTGATAATACATCACAATTAATTATCTCATAATTCTCAATTTCCATCTCATTAGCATTATTCAAATGTATGGTTATAGCATCAGGATCAATTTCAAATCCTACAGTTAACGATGCTTGCAATAGGCAACAACCAATTGATAAAGAACCACAACCACTTCCTAAATCAGCAACCAGTTTTCCTTCAATATCTTCATATTGAGACTAATTTCAAAACAAAATGATATAAAACCATGCGAACCATTAAAATACTAATTAATTACAAAAAAAACAAACCTGAATAGCATGAAGCATATGACTGGCAATGTGGGGCTGTGTTGGATATTGCTCTAACAGAATTTTTGGTTTTTCAAAAACATCACAATCTTGCAACCACTCTTCAAGTTCACGTAGTTTCATACAAGCAGACATAGTAAATCGATTAGTTTTTACCTACTGGACTCGAGTCATTCACTATCAATTCTAGGCAATACGGGAAGAATTTGGTTACCAAAAGATGAGTCGGTGGTAACAAAATAGCCAAAAGAAGTAGAATTAGCGTTTCTCAGAGCAACACGTTGGGTAGCATTAATCATATGCGTATCATTTCCAGCCAGAATGCTCTGGAAGAAATTTTTGATTACGAATACGCTAAGGATCAGTTTTGGTACTACTTTGTATGTATGATTCATTAATGACCAATAAGTTAATGATTATCACTGAAATCACTATATCTAACTTATCACAATAATTTGCACTAACACTCAAAATCTTTTCGTTTTAGTCAAAAACGTAAATGAAGTATCCTAATCAAAGATAAATATGCGATATTCTTTTCAAACGAAATTATTTATAAAGGCAATAAATTTGTATATCGTTGCTGATATTTCTCAAAATATGGTATTAAAATATAACTACAAATATAACAATGGAGACTTACCTGTGAGGTTAACAAATTAGATGTTGATATGCTTGTGGTCAAACTAGGAGCACCTCCTTTAAGTAATTGCTGTTTTTTCTGTTGCAGCTCTTCCAGAATTTTACGAGTATCTTCAAAAAATATTTTTATATAAAGTTTATGATTTATATAACAACTTTAACTATATAGCCTAAATAAACTACCTTGTTGAGCATTAGATTGAGGTAACGCCATAACAAGACCTTAACTTAGATATTATTCTTTATGTCAAACTTTCAAAGTTCATATTAATTAAAACAGTAAGTATACACACACAACACATAAACTTAGTTATTTTACATTATTTATTACTATTATCATATAAAAAATATAAAACTTATCGTAATTGCTTCACTAAATTAGTGTACGATCTGTCACCACAATATTATGCATGAAGTTAGTCACTTATGTTTTTATATTTTCAAGTTGATTTCAGCGCCATCTTCTCATGCAACGCGGTAAATTTAAATTTTTTTTCTCAAATGATTAATTACTTTATATGGTTTTTCATGTCATTTCAATATTAAAATGTTTCAAATGAATTTTTGTATATTAAAAAATTGTATAATAAGAGTTTTTTATAATCAAAACTAAATTTTTTGTTTTTATATTAGAAATAATGGAAATAACCCACTTTGTTCATCTTTAAGTAAATAATCAAAAGATTAACGTTTTGATTTTATTATGCGTTGATATTAGAATATGCAATAATATTATATTTTGATTATAATTTGATATAAAGTGCTCATTTATCACCTATTGAGTTCATGTTGTTGCAATTTTTGAATAAAGAATCAAATTAAATTAAATTTATAATATTTCCTCTTCTTCAAGGAAATATCTTTAATCCAGCTTATTGGGCATATAATAAGATAGATATAAAAATAATAATACAGTGAATCACAAATGTTAAAAATAAAAACTTAATCTATTCGAATTTGATGCCCTGTGCAAGAGGTAATTCGGTGCTGTGATTAATAGTGATAGTGGATCTTCTCATATATTGTTTCCAGGAGTCTGATCCGGATTCGCGGCCTCCACCGGTGTGTTTTTCACCACCAAATGCACCACCAATTTCAGCCCCTGATGTGGGAATGTTGACGTTCACAATTCCGCAGTCTGAACCCAATGGGCCTATCCACTAAAATAGAAAAATGTTTGAATATAAATGCGATTATAATGTTGTCTCTTCCAATTTCAACTAGTTAGATCAGTTGTTTGATCAATATAGTTTTTAGAAAAAATTTAGTTTTTAAATATTTATTTAATTTCACTTACATCGAAAACGTTGCTAATACTTTGGGTGAAGAGACTGGATGATAATCCCTGGTCAACTTCATTATTCCATTTGAAGGCCTCCTGGACAGAAGAGGCTCTCAAGGCGTATACAATTGGGGCAAAGCACTCGCTGCGAACTACAGGGGCATCATGGGCCAATCCAGAAACAATTGTGGGTTCGACGAAGAATCCGGGCCTGTCTACCACCTAAAAAAATGAAATAGGTAAAAATATATTGAAAATATAAAAATTGCTCATCGAATTTTATAGCAAAATCAAATAAATCATAATGATATTAATAATAGAGTAATAAATAGAGAATTTAGAGAATTTTACATTAACCATAGTTTTGTATAGAATATATTATAGTAGCATTTACATAACTGCAATATTGCACAAAATTATAATATTTTTTATAATTTCAGATGTCTTTTCTTTAATATTGTTAAAATCCATTATCAATTACTTTTTAAATATTTCCCAATATACAAATTCAAATTTCAGATATCTTCAGATTTCGCAGTCGAATTTTTATTTGTCGACTATTAAAAATCGTTTTATGATTTTTATCATGCAATCAAAAATCAAACAAAGTAGTAAAACACAAACTCATTGGCAAACAGCACAAATTTTACTATGTCAATATTTTTTTATTTATCAAACCTTGAACAGCCTACTTTGCAATAATGTAGTAAAGAAGACTGAAGACAGGCAAATTTGCATTAATTAATCGATGGTGATATTTAAATCCGTTAAAGGTTTTTTGAAGTAGCCTTTAAAACTCATTGATAAAAATACAAAAAAATATATCGTAAAATGCGAAGAGAGATTCAAGGCTGTGTGCCAAATCGTCAGGACATAAAGAGGAGGTAAAATATATTTGCTGGTGTAATAATAACCAATACCATAAATAAATAATAAAAATGAATATAAAAAGGATTTTTTTTGTCTTAAAACTCGATTAAATAAAATTTGTATTCTTGGTTACATTATATTACATATCCAACCTCAGACAACTCGATATCAAGCAGTATGATATTAAATTTTCACTTGAGGTTATAGATCTCAAATATAATCTTAAGTAAAATCGCCTATTCTAGGCATATTTGCAAAATTCTGGGCATTTACCTATAATCTCACTAATATAGATTTTTAACATAAAAGCAGAGTAGTTGACTGCTGGGTTGCCTTCTCCATCCAAAAAAAACATAGACATTATATTAGTAATTTTGTAATTTGAGTCATATATTTAATAAATTAAAAAAGAGAAAATAAGGCAAATAATACAAAAAACTGAAGTAGATCATGGATACAAATAAGAGAAAAGTTTGAGCTCTCAATTTGCTTAATTAGCGTTTGGCAAAAATATTTATCTAAATACACAGTATTTTTATCATATTTATTTCAATGGCTGAGTTACTTAAGTAAGCCTATATTTGGTCAAAGCAATTACCAAATATACAAATAGAAGAAATTACTTAGACTTGTCTAAAACACGTTCTCCGTGTGAGATCTTTAAACCATAATAGAAACTGATTGTGAGTTCACATTGCATAACATTGAGATTCTGATTGTAGTAATATATGAGGTCAACTGCCTAATTATTAATTCAAGTGCTTTTTTTATATGTAATCTATCATTTTATTATATGTTTATGGCGCTAATCTGTTAATTAGGTATGACTGTTGAGTATTATTAAATTAGGAAGTGCAGGGTTTATTTAAAGAACATCTTGTAATTCCCGGAAGGCGAGGTGTGGTATAAAAAATTATGTGTTGTAAAAAATGATTGTTTGTGTATTTGAAGGTTTTTTTCCTAAAACTCTTTATTTAAATTGTTAAGAGAAGCGACCTATATCAATGAATATATAGAGATGTTAAATAAATAAAAACTTTGATTAAAATTAAAATATTATATAGGGTGTTCCAGATCTTGACGTCAACCGAAACGGGATGATAGTATTGACCTAACTGTTCCGAAAAAAATGGAAAAAAAAATTGGAATTTTGGAAATTATGAGCTTTTTAAGCACTTGCACCCTAAAGCTTTGATGAAATTATGACCATAACTTTTCAGTTATTGGGTTAAATTTTTATTAATTTTGTTTATTTGATCTTAGGAACCGTAACCATGAATAACATTTCTTCTAGGATCAGAGTAAAAAATAATAATACAAATACCAAAGTTTTCAAGATTTAAGACTTTTTGTTAAATAATGAATTTAAAAATTTCAAAATTTCGACTTTGAGAGGCTTTCTTTAAAAAAAAATGTACTAAAGTGTGTTGGCAAGTACCATCACAAGTTGGCGCATTTAATTGTAAAATGGCACCTGACTTGAACCTGAACCTGATTTTATAATTGAAAAATTTCGAGTAAAAAAATAAACCCTAAAGATGGCATGATTTTTGCTAATGCATTTTACTCAAACTCATCCGGACATTACCAAAAACTAATCAGCACATTCCCAACTAATATCTTTCTGAAATTATCTTGAAATTTAATACTGTTTCTGAAATTTTAAGGATATTTAACTAAAATATATAAAAAAAGTTTTGCATTTATCTGCTTTTTGAAAAGAAACGGCTCGGTCGACCATTGCGAAAAACTAATCATCACAAATCCTTATCGCAGTGGTTTCCAACTTTTTAGTACCGAGTCCCTCTTAATTTTTCTAACAATTTAATTTTATAAACACTCAAGTGAACAACACCTGTATGTTATTGCCGCTAATAAAGACTTCTCAAAACCATAAAATTAAAAATATAAAAACAAACCATAAATTTGATACAACCGTCAAAATATTTCATTTAAATTATAGCCCTTTACGAAGAAACTGCGTCACAGTAACCGGTAACAAATAAATATCGAATATTTTCGATTACATTATCTGGTGACCCTCAATATTTCGTTTAAGTACAATGGGCTCTCATCTCCGCCTGTAGACTTGACCTTACATCCGAACTTTGTTGCGGAAGGTTGAATGCAAAGCCGTTCTCTAATGAATACAAAACCTTATAATAAATCGATATTAACAAATAATAAAATATACTTTTGATTCATTTTTAATTTGAATCAATTTTCTAAATATGCCAAAAATCTGTATAAAACTAGTGGTGTATGATGGCATCTTGTCTTAAGACAAAATGCTGGTATTTCACCTATCAATTTTTTTTTTTTTTTATTTAAAAAAAAATTAGATTTTTTAGAAATTCTACATTTTTGAAAAAAGTGTACATTTTTTTAAAAAAAGCTTTTGAAAAAATATTCTATAAGAACATATTCTAGTACTGAATCAAATCTTTTATGAACATAAATATCGTCTATCATCACATTCAAATTTGCCTGGAGGCTTGACATCGTATGTCATCTGCACGTCGTATTAAAAATGACGAACCTTCAAATTTAAATACCACGTCGTCTGTCTGTGACAGTAATTTTATAATCTAAATATTATGAATATGTAAATAAATCTAAGATAAAAAATATGCAGAATTAAAAGTTACCTACATTGACCGATACGAGCGAGTTAATTCATAATTTGGCCCATATTTGGAATTAATAAGAAAATAAAAATAAATTAATAAGGCTTTGAAAACAACTACTGCACACAAGTAGAAATGTTTTTGAGAACCTATAAAATTATTCTATCAAACAAAAATAAATATCAAATATTTATTCAACAGACATATAATATGAATATAGACGGGTCAAATATGTAGTGTATGCTCATACCGAATTTCTAGGCTTCTTGTTGAAAAGGAAGGAAAAGATCTTAGTGATGATCCCAGAAAGGAGATCTAGAATGACTTCACAAATGTGATATACATTAACTTAAAGAGTGATATTCATATTAAGAATTGAATAAAATATATATATATATATATATATATATATATATATATATTTAGAGCATTTTTTCTGGCTTCAATATAAACCTCGTTTGCGACTCTGTTATTATACAATAATAACGTATCATTAAAGAAATTAAGTTTAAACTTTATCGCGTCCGACGTATAGTAAATAAGACGCTCATTACTACATATACCGTAAATACACGTATACCCTCACTAAGGTTATTGTTCACCGTTTTTTATTTCAATTTTGAATATTCATCTCCTCAAATCAATGACAGACTTGAGTATATAAACTGCTGACTCCTCTCCGATATCATCAAACTTCAATAAGCTTTTCAAGCAAACGCATCACAGCAACCAAAACAGCACTCCGCTAAAATCAGCAAAATGTTCAAACTTGTAAGTTGCTATTTTTAATTTTTCCAGTATAAATAAGGAAAATTTACAATATTGTTTCTTCCAGGTGGTAGTATCTGCTTTCTTGGCCGTAGCCGCAGCTGCTCCTTACCCAGGATACGTCGCAGCACCAGTAGTCCACGCCGCTCCAGTGGTACATGCTGCTCCAGTTTTCCACTCTGCTCCAGTTGCAGTTTCACACTCCAGCTCCCATGTGGTTCACTCTGCTCCAGTATTGAAAACTGTAGTAGCTCCTGCACCAGTTGTCAAAGTAGCTCATGCTGTACCAGTCGTCCACTCTGCTCCAGTTGTTAAAGTTGCCCATGCCGTACCAGTCGTCCATGCTGCTCCAGTAGTGAAAGTGGCCCATCCAGTAGTCCACGCTGCTCCATTAGCTGTTCATGCTGCTCCATTACACACTGTCTACCACCATTAAATTTTATAAAATTTTGATATTTTATCCGTTACCCATTGGTTCGACGCATTTTACAGTTATGGAAACAAGCTTCTTGTGATATCAATCAATCATTATGTAAATAGCACTAAATTTTGTATTTATTTATATCATTTCAATAAAATATTATAAATTTATTTTTGAATTTTATTGTTATAAATAGGAAGTAAAATATAATTATTTGCTCAGTTTTTTAAATATATTTCTCAAATATTTATCTTAAAATTTATATAGATGTCTTAATGTAAGTCTGTTACATAAAATTTAGATTTTATTTTTGTAATAATTGCTGTGATTTCTCATACCAGAACAATTGTCTGACTGAGATACAGTATGTACGAATTATATCAAATAAATAAATAAAATAAAAAAAATCTGAGATATAAGAAGAGAAATGTCTACAGTTTTGTCAAAACATGGATAATATCAACGTAATTTTGGAAATTATAAATTTTATTTATACCTATTCCATAACGCATAAACTAATAAGTTCCAAAAAAATCTAAAGCAAATACTTTTTTTGATACATATTAAATTATGAATAGTTTTTATTATAGTATTTCATCGAATATTTTCCAAAACTGTTTAAAGATTAAAAATTTTTATATATCCATAGTTTTATTGAATATATAGTAGAAATCTATAATGAAAAATGGAATAATAGAAATCTATTATGAATATCGAATGAAAAATTAAAATAAATAATTCCGTATTTATATAAAAATATGTCAAATCCCGTAAACAAGTTTTTCCAATAAAAATTTTATAAGAAAATTTTATTATATGCATATTCGAATTAGAACCTATTAAAATCTTTCAAATTCATAAAACTTCAGATAAAGTTTTGAATATATTTTGCGTTGCTGTATTATAAATCCAATTTACAAAATAGGTTTATTTAATAGCAAGATAAATTAATTTATAAAAAATTACTAGATGAGAATTTAATCTCTCCAATCAGTGCAAAATAATATGAAAAAGTATAGAAAAATAGAATTAACAGGAATATGATTAAGAAATTTAAAAGATAAGGAAGCTGATGACAGAATTTCTTCAGATCAGTAGAAAACTTGTTAAACATTTTTATATAGTTTCAATTTTAACAAAAAATAAATAGAATTTAATAGAATAGAATATAACCAAATTTTTTAAAAAAAAAATCTAAATTCAAAAAACCTCTTAAAATTGGAACGATCATTTTCGAATATAAAGTTTCAAGTTTAACGTAAGTAACGATTTGGTGTTTTAATGTTAAATTAAAATAATATAAAAAGGTGTAAACTTTTTTTGCATGAACGATATATCGTATCAATTGTCGAAACGATAATAAATAATTAAGGAATTGCAAATTTCATTGGGTTTAATTTCACGAATAAACGGCTTTACATATATCACATATGTTTCAAAGTAGCTTAATCATAGACCTTATACTAAATATTTAATGATAGTAAATAGTATTTAATAAAAATTTACTATATTTGACATATTATTCCCAAATTATATATGTACCTTTACCTCTACAATATAGAAATGCAAATAAGAACAATCAAACAACTATTTACCAATGCGTTTGCTTTCACGGTGTGTATTTGCTCTGATATAAATCAATGACATCGCATGGTATAAAAGCATATGAATTTGTGCCAAAATTATTAAAAGTTCATCAGCTCTCAAGCAATACACATCTTCTCTAAAAGAACCCAAAAAAACAGCATTTCCAAAATGTTCAAATTGGTATGTGAGCCATGAAAATATTGTGCTTTTCAATATTGAATTGTGATCAATGCTTTGTATTATTTTAGGTTGTATTATCCGCTCTCTTGGCTGTAGCTGTAGCTGCTCCTAAACCTGGATACGTAGCTGCTCCAGTTGTTCACACCGCACCTGTGGTTCATGCTGCTCCAGTTTTTCACTCAGCCCCAGTGGCAGTATCCCACTCCAGCTCCCATGTGGTCCACTCTGCTCCAGTAGTTAAAACTGTCGTAGCCCATCATGCTCCAGTAGTCAAAGTTGCCCACCATGTGCCAGTCGTCCACTCTGCTCCAGTTGTCAAAGTAGCTCATCATGTTCCAGTAGTTCACTCTGCTCCAGTAGTGAAAGTAGCCCACCCAGTAGTTCACGCTGCTCCATTAGCTGTTCATGCTGCTCCTGTCCACACTGTCTACCACCATTAAATTTTATAAAATTTTACTGTTTTATCTGTTTGCCGTTGGTTCACTCCTTTTACAGTTATGGAAATAAGCTTCTTGTGATATCGATCAATCAATATGTAAATAGCACTAAATTTTATAGATATTTATTTATGTCATTTCAATAAAATATTTTAAATTTATATATGCATTTTATTGGTGAAAATAAAAGTTAGAATAAAATATTTTCTTTATTTTTAATACATTTCAAAATTAAAACCAGAGAAGAGAATACCTAATTTTCTTCAGAACAAATTTTGAAAAATTTTGAAAATCATTTTAGAAAATATAGAAACAATCTACAGATATTTTGTAAAATATAGGAAAAATGTCTGCGCATAGTTTAGAAACTAAATATTTAAAAAAAATGTTTCAAAAGTTCCCTTATGTGAAATACTCAAATACTTTAAAATTTTTAATTCACTTATAAAAATTTTAATTCAATATTATCAGAAATTGTATAATTCATTTTTTTTTTCAAAACTATATAAATTTACAAAAAATAGTTATATATCCACAAAGTATAATTTTGATAGATATGTTGTAAAAAGTAAGTACTTTATTATAAATATCATTAAAATAGTTAAAATAAAGTATAATGCATTATATGAAAATGCAAATGAAAACGTTTTGCTATGGGTTGTTTTTGAAAAAAAATATATTAAATATATTCGAATTAATATCATTAAAAATGACTTTTCACATCTTGCTGCTATAACTAATTTTTATACGATCCAATTAACGAAAAATGACTGTTGAATATAAAAGTATATTTCTTGCAAGTCATTTCTCAATGAGAATTTCTACTCTGAATCGGTAAAAAATAATATGAAAAATTAAAAAAAATTATAATTATTAAGAAACTTATAAAAATATAAAGTAACTAACTAATGCCAGAATTCCTATTAATTTAAATTAGATTTTTTCAAATGCATAAATTCGCATTATTTTACCGTTATTTATTATCATATTAATTATCTACATATTCAATTAAATGCGTAAATTCGGTGTTGAAACACTCATATACTATTCAAAACTAAATATGCAACAGTATGCCACAGATTTTTTTTAATATAACGAGGTAATTAAAGATTCTTTCTCTACTGAGTTATACCACTCTAAGCCAATAGTTAAATACAACTTATGAAAACTATGAACAATTAATATGTTAAATATAACTATAAATTGAAAAAATTTAAAATTACCTAAATTCTTATATTTGTCTTTTTATAATAATACGCGTAAGTCCTCTTTAATGTTTGATAAGGTTTTGTAATAAGTTGATAATTAATTTGGATAGTAAAAGTAAAAATTATTTCATTAATTTTATCAACTGGATCATTATTATATTCGATAATAATAATTATTCGTCAATAGGTTCAAAATACATTCTTTTAGTTAAAATAAAAAATGCGAACTAAATTAAATATCTTTTTACCAATGCGTTTGCTTTCACAGTCTTTATTTGCTCCGGTCTAAATCAATGACATCGCACGGTATAAAAGCATATGAATTCGTCCCAAAATCATCAAACGTTCTTCAGCTATCAAGCAATACAGATCTTCTCTAAGAAAATCCCAAAACAATTTCTTCAAAATGTTCAAATTGGTGTGTATTAAATACTATATCAGTGTGTTTCTTAAAATCGTGCAGTTTATTAATGTGCCAAAATTAATTTTTAGGTAGTAGTATCCGCTTTCTTGGCCGTAGCAGCAGCAGCCCCCGGATATGTGGGACAACCCTTAGTAGCGGCTCCATTGGTGCACTCGGCTCCAGTTCTGCATTCTGCTCCAGTGTTCCACTCAGCACCTGTTGCAGTATCTCACTCAAGCTCCCATGTGGTTCACTCTGCTCCAGTATTGAAAACTGTCGTAGCCCCAGCTCCAGTAGTCAAAGTTGCCCATCACGTGCCAGTCGTCCACTCTGCTCCAGTTGTCAAAGTAGCTCATCATGTTCCAGTAGTTCACTCTGCTCCAGTAGTGAAAGTTGCTCATCCAGTAGTCCATGCTGCTCCATTGGCTTATGCCCATGCTCCAGTACACTCTGTCTACCACCATTAAAAATCCTTAGAATTTTGCATATCTTGCCAGTAGTCCATAAACCGACACTTTTGCCGTTATAAAAGCTCTTTGTGATATTACTCTTCATGTAAATAGCATTACATTTTATAAATATTTATATCATTCCAATAAAAAATTTCAAATTTATTTATGTGTTTGAATATAATAATTTATATGTGATCCAAAATAAGTTCAAATATGTATATTCTCGTATACATATGAAGAATTAGACAATAAAAACATAATAAAGCCCTCATGTGAACTTTAATACCCTTAAGCGTCAGTTTAGCTTTCTCAGAAATTTTGTATTATTATAGTGGATATTTAATAATTATTTAAATAATACCAATTTTATATTTTCTTAATTTTTAATTTGTAATAAAATTTTGAAATAATTATATATTTTGTGAAAAAAAAGATCAAGTATTGAGAGAGAAGATAGATGATTTGACTCTATTTAATTCGTTCTTGTTTTAATATAAAACAATGTCTTACTTTTGTGTGTTTTTCCTTGTACTTGATAAATTATGACACACACACACATGTCGAAATAGTTCAAATATTTATCGCATTTCATTTCGTCAATTTGGATAAAAAAACGTTTAACAATACATGCATATATATATATTATTAAAGAATAATTATCTCTGAAAAATGCACCTTGGCAATTCCATAAACTTTACAATATCTTTCCATTCGCACGCGGATTGAAAAAAAGTTATTTTCTCACAAATTGTTAAACTTTAGATAATGTTAATATATTATTTTTTAAATTTATAAATAAATATTTTATATACTTCTACATATATACATATGAATATATGTGTGATTGTATAAATAGAAAAATATAAATTTATCTTATTGGTAGTAATATCAACTTTTCAGGAAAGATTTACTGTCCATTATTTATCCCTAATGAGTATAAAACATACTTCTATCCGTATTTAGAGAAATTCTATTACAGTAAAGTTAAATAAAACGTAGATTGTATGAAATAAATTCCTATGATTGAAGAAAAAAACGATTATACAAAAATCTGTCAAAAATATAGCTGTACTAATACCGATTTGCTACATTTAACACCTCATGATATTCCAGCGTTCATATAATAGAGTTGTTTGCTTTGTCAAAATAAAATAATTAGCAGTTTTTACGTAGATGGTTTTTTGATATTATATGGAAATTTGAGAATGATAATATGTAATAGATAATATTTGTTAAGTGATCTAAGAGATAAAAATATTTTCTTTTGATACTCACATTCTTGGAACTGAAAAAATAGTAAATATCTCAAATTTCGAAAAAAAAGAAATAATTAATTACATCATTATTATAAAACAATACCGACGTTATAAGTATAATTAAATTATATATTATATATATAAATGTATATATAAAAATAGCAAGACCAACAAAATATCTAATTATAAGATACTATCGAAGATATAGAAACATAAAATTTGTATACGCCTCAAATGCCATATTAAACCTTGAATATGCTAAGATTATAAAATCGCCAATAAAAATCAAATAAAGTAAAATTACATTGAACACCATAATATAAAAACTGAAAAATTTAACTAATTGAAAAATTATAATTACAGCTAAATTTAACGAAGGTAGAAACTTCAATATAAAACTTTACGTAGGTTTATTCATAATGAAGAATAGTTTTCAGAAAAATATGAATATAAATAAAATGAATAAGTAAAATAATAATATATTAAATACGATAATGCATTGGCAGCAGATATATTATAGCTTTGCTGTTTTAATATTATGTCAAAACGTGGAAATGCATAATTATATAAATATTATATTACTTCATTCACCCATTGAACTTCTCAACCTACCATTCACTTAATAATAAGAAAAAATGTATTAATTATAGTGTAAAATGAAAAGACACGCAACTGTTAAAATTATTTAAAAACTTTTTAACTATCGCGTTTCCTTTCACGGTATGTGTTTGCTCCGATCTATATCAATGACATCGCACAGTATAAAAGCATATGAATTCTTCCCAAATCATCAAACGTTCATCAGCTTTCAAGCAATACAGATCTTCTCTGAGAAAATCTCAAAACAATTTATCCAAAATGTTCAAATTGGTGTGTATTGAATATTATATCAGCGTGTTTCTCAAAACAGTGCAGTTTATTAACGTGCCAAATTTAATTTTTAGGTAGTAGTATCCGCTTTCTTGGCCGTAGCAGCAGCAGCCCCCGGATATGTGGGACAACCCTTAGTAGCTGCTCCATTGGTGCATTCCGCTCCAGTTCTGCATTCTGCTCCAGTATTCCACTCAGCCCCAGTAGCAGTATCTCACTCAAGCTCCCATGTGGTTCACTCTGCTCCAGTCTTGAAAACTGTCGTAGCCCCAGCTCCAGTAGTCAAAGTTGCCACCATGTGCCAGTCGTCCACTCTGCTCCAGTTGTCAAAGTAGCTCATCATGTTCCAGTAGTTCACTCTGCTCCAGTAGTGAAAGTTGCTCATCCAGTAGTCCATGCTGCTCCATTGGCTTACGCCCATGCTCCAGTACACTCTGTCTACCACCATTAGACTATTTCACAAGCATATATCATGTTCTTGCCGTCCTTTTCAATTTTTTAATGGTACAAACATTTACAAGCTACTTGTGATATTTATCATGTATATAGCACTTTAATTTTATAAATATTATTTATTCCATTTTAAATAAAAATCAGTTAAAAAACTTTATCTATTATATTTACTTATTTATTTCAGGTTAAATTGGCCATTCTTAAGGAAATCCAACATTTTTTTATTATTTAAGTGTTTATTTAATATTTGATTTTTTCTGCAATAAATTTTATGCTCTTTTGTAATTATTAAGAAATTCATAGATATTTTCAAAAATAACTTCCAGATTGTAAATAGGTAATATATTACCTATGCCAATTATTTTATAAAATATCTATAAACTGCTTAATAATTAAAATAGAGCATAAATAATACATATATGCATAATTGATTTTATTAATTGGAATCAATGAAAATCGATTCTATTGCGATATGGCATCCACAAATAGAAGTCAGCAATAAATTTTAAATATTAAAAACATAAAATAATGACTTAATAGTCATTTCAGTAACCAGTATTCACTTTGAACTCTCAGCTTACATAAAAATTTTGTAATCAACATATGTTCAAGTATTCGCAAACGAGGATTTTTTTCTTTATTTTAATATTGTTACCTTATAAATCTTTACTTTTAAGCTCTTATAATACATTACGATTCTTATGTATTAATTATACAACAAATCCCTCAAAGCGTTATGCAAATTATCAAAAGGTCGTAATTATTTGCGAGTTCTTCAGACAAAGTGTTCCCTTTCACGTTTTGTTTGCTTTTGGTCTTAATCAATGACAATGATGTATTGATGTATACATACATGTGATGTTCTTACAAAACCTTTAATTATTATTCCACTTGAAAAAAGTATAGTGTTTCAATTTTTTTTAAAAAGAACACTTCTAAAAATGCCCGTATTATAACAATTTTTATTATAACGAGCTTTACGCTCTCTATGAGACATAGCTTTTCAATATCCAGAATTTATATTTATTCTTTGTAAATTCTTTCAATATCCTTAAAATAAAAAATTTTCGTTGCTGATTCTGATATAAATGCAGCTTAATAGAATTGGATATCGTTGGATTTTGAATAATAAAAGCTATATTTATAACACGGTAAACTCATTTTTTATAAAAATAGGTAAAATTTCTATTTCGCCACTTACCTTGCCTCCAAATTCAATTTTACCGCCCAATTTCTTAGCATCTTCAATCGTTCTCTTGTATTCATTAACAGAATTTTCAGAATGTAGAGGTCCATATAAAGTGTCTTTGTCCAAAGGATCACCAATTCTTGTAAGAACTTGGGCGAAAGCTTTCTTCAATCGTGAGATCACTTCATCGTAAACCTATAAAGTAAATATAAGAATAATCGTTTTCTAGAGGTTTTCTAGATCTTCAAGAGATTATTATCTTACTTTATCGTGTACGATTAATCGTCGGGTTGTTGTGCACCTCTGACCAGCAGTTCCAACGCAGGCAAATACTGCTGCTCTTACAACCATATCTACATCAGCATCATCAGCTACAATTAGGGCGTTATTTCCTCCGAGTTCCAATAAATGACGTCCAAAACGTTTTTGTACTTCCACACCAACCTGAAAAATATAAATATATAAACAACTTTGATCTGAAATTTTTTATATTTAATTCCAAATATTTACCTGCTGGCCAACGTGAGTGCTTCCAGTGAAGGACAACAATTTGACACGGGTATCCTTAGCCATCGCTGCGCCGACTTCAGAAGCACCACAACAAACTGCTGCAATTGCGCCTGGAATACCATTTTTTTCAAGAACTTGAGCAACAATACGGCCAGTAGCGATAGTCGTCAATTGAGTTGTGGAAGCGCCTTTCCATAAAACCGAATCACCACAGACCTGGAATAATATTTTAATTATTCAAACTCTAATAGAACGTATTAAACAAATTTTATAAAAGTATAATTTTACCATGGCTAAAGCACTATTCCATCCATATACAGCAACTGGAAAATTGAAAGCGGATATAACACCGACCAAACCTAATGGATTCCATCTTTCCATTAAGACATGTCCTGGTCGTTCGGAAGGCAGGATGGCACCAGCCAGCATTCTAGATAAACCGACAGCGTAGTCGCAGATATCAACGTATTCTTGAACTTCACCCACACCTTCTGGCAAAATTTTACCTGAAACCATATGATAGAAAAATAGTCTAGAGAATAGATTTTGAGTATATTTTACTTGGTTTAGCTAACATTACTAACCCATCTCAAGAGCAACTAACTGTCCCAAAGGTTGCAAGTTAGCTCGGAGAGCATCTCCAATTTGCCTTACGATTTCTCCTCGTCTTGGAGCAGGCAAGCTGGCCCATTCTGGCCAAGCCTTTTCTGCTGCTTTCACACATCTCTCGTAATCAGCGATTGTGCCTGATACTGTTTCTGCAATCACTTTACCATTGCTGGGGCACACTGATTTTACTGTCTAAATATAGATATATTCTTACTACAATATTGTATAGCAATAAGTTATATAACTGCAAAAAATGCACAAATATCTGCTTTTATATTTTTATAATAATTATATCAGGTTTCTCAGATTTCTAAGCAGGTATCATTTAATATAATTATTTGAAAAATCTTGCACTTGATTGCTTTTGTATTACTAAAAAATTAATTTATCAGTAAAAACCAGAATAAATATGCATATTTATTGCATAAATATATAAATAACCTTTTTTCAGTTGTTTGAAAAATTTAGTACTTCGAGAATTATCTTGTTTACTCAAATGCTTTTCTCAAGTAGATATAGGTACATTATTGCTATAAATAAAACACCTGGCAACGAGATATCTAAAATTAATTTTTTAGGCTTAGGTAATGTGATTTGATTCGCAATAGAAATTTCATAATAAAGCAGTTATCAATTAGATATCAACAAGCAACATGCACGTGGTCTGATAACAAGATTCGTGATTGTAACACAGATAATTATTCAATGTTATCTCAATATTACAAATCCTTTGAATAATGGATCCTTGGTTTAATTCCATTACATATTAATAAAACTTGAAATCGCAATTTTGTAGACCCAATGTTTAAAAAAATTAGTATAAAAATCATATCATTATTATTTTTTAATCTCAAATATTGCATTTGAGTTTAATTGTAAATGCTTATAGCATTGTAAATTGTTCTGATTGCTTTTTAAAAATTAATAATGAACAATCTTAAATTTTAATATACATTTGGGAAAGTTTAATATAATAAGAATTCTTATTATATAATACTGATATTCTTGATATATCAATACGACAATCAATTACTATCTGTTTACGTTAATTTTTTGTCTTCAATTGCATGTTAATTTATTAGTTAAATTTTAAATTATATAATATTATTGTATTTTTAAGACATTCTGAAGCTCCTCTGTGGGCTATTTAAAATTATTAAAAATTACTATTATTTTTATGTAAAATTAAATAAATTATATTCATATATTAATGAATATTAATTTATTACAATTTTTTTAGAAAATATTTTAAGCATGCATAAATAATGTTAGAAAAATTCTATTACCATATGTAGGGTAAATTAAAAATCAAAATTCTCTTAACGTACGCACTTTAGGATACAAATATTTAATTAGATTTTAATTAGAATAATTTAGAATCTGAAATGTGATATTCAAATATGATTTAATTACTTACAGGGCCAGATCCAAACCATTGACCATCATAAACACCTTGATTGCTTTTGTCCAAGCCCAGTTGTCTCAAAAACGAATATTTTGAGTCATTAATTAAATATTCAGACGCACTAGCATAATTTCTCTTTGAGAATCTGTTTCCGAATTGTTTGCCAACATTTAATAGATTTCGAGCCATTTTGATATTAATTTGAATTAATGTAGATTATTATTATATTGTATTTGTAGACTTTTGAAATTGTTGTTAATGATTCTTGCACTGCGCCTACAGTGCACTTGTGGATGAGTTCGAACGATAGCAATACGCGTTTTTGTACATAGATAAAAATTATCCGATAATTAAACAGCTAGTTTACATTTTACTCAAACTTAAAATTTATAAAAATAAAATAAACAAAGATAACTATGCTCGTGTATAGTAAAATATGCATACTGTAATTTTCATGCTTTAAATAATTAATGACTGTGATCTCAAACTGTATTCATGTCCACTTTCTTAGGATACAAGGGTTTGAAAAATTCTACATACGTGGGAATTTTCGGATTTAGATTCTAACAGTGTTTTACATTGTTATCAAAGCACGAATTTATTATTAGGATATAACAGAAACTGCTGATGTTTACGATTCAATTGAATAAAATAGTTATCAACTGTTTGTCTATAACTGTAATACTGATAAGAAGCAAATATCTTTCTGAATAATAAACATGAACCGAGTGTTTATCATAAAGTTAGGTATAACATTCTCCACATTTCAATAGGTATTCTTTGTTCATTTTTTAAACTGTTGATAAAAACCACACACACACACACATATATATATATATACATATATATATATATATATATATATAATGTTATACAATATATATATATATATATATATATATATATATATATTCATGTCCTTTATACCAATAAGTGATAATCATACATAATATTTGATATTTATAACATATATTTATATTTATAAATAGAACTCGATTTCGATAATCTCTGATCTTTATTATTACTTCAAAGCTTAGTAAATATTGGTATTGAGTAATAATTTGTTAGCAAATTCTAAAACAAATAAAACAATAAATTATAATATTATTTGTAAAATAACTTAATATATTTAAAGCCTCTTCAAAGTGATTAAAATATTAATTAAATGATAAATAAAACTTTATACATTTTGCATATAGAATTTTTTTTTAAAATGATTTGTTAAACATCCAATTTCTCAAGTTGAATTTTAAATTGAGCGCGTAAAATGAATTTGAGCCTACTTCATACCATGCTGTGTCCAACTGTCAACTGTCAACAAATCATATGCAACCAACCGTCCTCATTCTGAAATAACCGACATTGCTATATTTTTTATACTATTTACAAGTGATTATAGTACTTTAACATGTTTGTTTTTAATTTTTAAACAGTTCAAGTTTGTTGATATTTTATTATTGTTACGACGCAAACATGGAGAAGGCCTTAGTACGAATAATTTTTCCAGGATTAAAACGTATGCACTCTTAATATTTATAATTTTTGTATCTTTTATTTTAGATTTTTTCTCCACCTCAAAGAAAACCTGTTAAGAAGCAAACCGTTATAGAGGAGCCTTTGGATATTGTAGTCCTAGCTCCTTTCACAAAAACTCCTCGATTAATGCTTCAAGATGTTATGATCGGTTGTACATCAACAACATCACTTATAATTAAAAATCCTACATCTTGTGAAGTTCAGGTACTACAGCATTATACAACTTTTTTTTTATTTCATTATTTATTTCCAATACATGACATAGTATGTGTTCTCCATGTAGGTTTGGGTCAATCCTCCAAAAATGGAATTAGTTTTGTCATGGGAAACTATTATCATTAAAGCTAGTTCAGAAGAAGTACTTTCAATATCATGGACACCAGAAAAAGCCTTTTCAGGATGCTCTGTGATAAAAATTCAAGCAGATAATGGAATGAAGAAAGACATATCGATTATTCTTAAATCTATACAACCTATTGTGAAGGTATAGCGCTTTAAATATCAATAAAAAAAATTATGACCCTTATGTTACATACGTTTAGTTTAATAATGTTGAAATTATTTTTCTAAAGATCATAAGTATTCTTAAGATTATTCATTTTCAATAAATTTAAAAATAAACTCTTTGATATTTTAGAAGAAGGCAAACAATACTCTTAAGGGAGGTGTTAAAAAACCCTTAGTATGTGCACAACAAAGTAGCAAATTTCGAAAAGTTATTCAAGCTACCCAGAAGACAATACGCACAGAAATAACAACAGCATTATCTAAAACCATACCTACAATAAGCTATTGTAAAATTCAAAATCCAGTTAAAACTGGGGAAAAATTTTATCAACAAAAAGATCTTAATAATAAGGAAAATATCACTAATAATATTGATCATTCTAGGCATCTTAATTTTTGTGAGATTTTAGATTCAAGTGAATTTTCATTATCACGCATGTCTCCTGTGTCTAGAATTAATATATCGTCGACACCAAATACTGAGAATTATAAGTTTAATGATAAATTTAATAAAAGTGCAAATGAACTTACGCCATTACTAAATAGAAGTTTGCCATTGAACTCATTAAATGTTAGTGGAATAAGTTTAAGCAACAGTAAAAATAAAAAGCAAGTCTCTGCAATTCATGACAGCTCTCTTGAGAGCAAAATTAACAGCCTATGCTTCACGCCTATTCATTCTAGTAGTATGATAAGAAAGAAACCTTTTGAAGAAAAAAAAGTTGATAACACATACACAGTTCAATATAATAATGGTTTTGTAAAAGATTTACAATCCTCAAGGATGAGCTCACCGATAAATTTATCTTCTGATAGTATTTCTAAAGAGACAACTGATGGTGCACCTAAAAACTCAACATATCAATTGAATATTAGTTCCGGTACTTATAAAATATGTACATCACCAGAAATTCATGATGACATTGCGGCAATTGATGATTACTTAGTTAATAGAAAAAGAAGATTGTTGGAAAATGCGAAGAAGAATGTTACACAGAAGAGCGCAAAAGTAAAAATTACTTACACAGAAGCCAGTTCTCATAATATTATTAGAGATGTTGATTTTCCTAATGATAAAACCGTCGATCCATTTATTTTCAGTACAATGTTTTATGATGAACAATATTTTGAGCAGCAAGAATTGCATATTCTAAAGTGGTTAAATGCATTGCTCCAACCACCTTCTGACCTGCAATGCCAAGTCGAAGGGAAAGTAAACTTAGGTAAAATCTGGAATGATGTGAAAAATAAGCCATTGATGCTGCCACAAACAAAAGAAACTGTTTCACATAAACTGCACGTGAGTCATAGATTGCAAAGCTTAAGAGCTGCTGCTAAAAAATTATTGAAACAACCTGATTTAATTATTATATTAACAAAATGCACGAATCTTGTAGAAAATGAAGTTTTGTCTATAAGAGCAGACAAACAGTTACATCTAGATGTCTCATTGCAGAAATATGTGATGGAATTATTCTTTTGTTACAACCCGCTTTGGTTGAGAATCGGTTTGGAAACTGTTTTCAATGAACCTATTAATATATCCTCCAACTCTGATATTCATGGTCTTAGCATTTTCATTTATAATAGATTATTCAAAGGACAGAATGTTAATGGCAAACAAAGCAATATTTTTAAACAAGAGTTCATACACAAATTGAAAAAATTTGTTTTGAAAAAGTTTTTAATGTTTGTTTTGTTTTTGGATAATGCAAAGAAGGTTAAATTAATAGCTCATGATCCTTGCTTATTTGCGAAGACAGCACCTTTTAAAGAAAGCCGGGAAATATTGATTAATTTTGCTAAGGAATTGGTTGCAGGAATTGGTGATATCACAAGACCTCTGAAAACCATAGGCTATATAGTAACCCATAAACAGTCTTATGTTGATGAATTTGACTTTGCTGTAAAAAATTTGGCTGTAGATATAAGGGATGGCATTCGTTTGGCTAAAATTATGGAAATAATTCTCTTGAGAAAGGACCTGGTGTGCAACCTCAGAGCACCACCAATATCAAGACTTCAAAAAATTTTTAATGTCAGTATTTCATTCAAAGCTTTAGAGGAAATAGGATTTGTTTTATTTGGTGGAATAACACCTAGGGATATAACAGATGGATACAAGGAGAAAACTTTGTCCTTGTTTTGGCAACTTATTTATAAGTTTCAAGCACCTTTATTTGTTAAAGCTTCAACAGCTATACAAATATGGTGGCGATCAGAGCGAATTATCATTAAGAGAAGAGAACTTCAGCATAAAAGACTTCTCAAAGAAATTAGTGCTACTTTTATTCAGAGTGCTTGGAGAGGATACAAAGCCAGAGTGCAATGTAAAATTTTGCGTTTTAAAGTCCACAGGGCGACTAGAATCATTAAAAATGCTTGGAGTGCCTATAGAGAAAAACAAGCTAATGAATTATATCAACAAAATAAAGCAGCTTTGAAAATTCAAAAAGCATATAAATCTTATAGGTTTTTGAAATGTCTTAGAGCTTATATTAAAACATACACACATTCCATAATCTTGATTCAACGACATGTAAAATCTGTTTTGCTTACCAGGCAGCTACAAAATAACTATTTAAAATTACGAAATGCAGCTGTTTTTGTCCAAAGACATTATCGTTCCAAACTAGCAATGCGAGTTGAATTTGAAAAATTTGAGACATTAAAGAAATATTCAATTTTTGTGCAAAGGCATTATAGAAATAAAATTTGTACAAGACAGATTAGAAATAATTATCTGACTTTGAAAAAAGCAGCAGTTTTAATTCAGCAACGATATAGAGCACAAAAAGCCATGCTTTATGAACAAGAAAAGTATCAGTTACTCCGAAAATCAACCATTGTAATTCAAAAAAGGTACAGAGCAAACAAATTAATGAAAGAAACTCAAGCTGCTTATATCAAACTTAAATTGGCAACTATATTAATACAACAAAAATTCAGGGCAAAATTAGCAATGGTGACTGAAAGAAACTACTTTGTAAAATTACAACTCACTGTAATATTAGTACAAAGAAAATACAGAGCACAAAAAATGATGCAATCAATGCGAAATCAATTTATTGCAATCAAACGATCCACCTTAGTTATTCAAAAATATTATAGAGCACGAAGGTCTATGCGAACAGCGCGTTTAAATTATCTAAACCTAAGAAAAACTGTAATATTGTGTCAAAGAACATTCAGAGCAAAGTTAGACATGAGGAAAGCTTTAAATAATTATCATTCAATAAGAACATCAATAATAACCATTCAAAGGAGATACAGAGCTTTTAAATTAATGCAAAAAGTAAGAAATGAATATTTGTCATTAAGAGATACTGTTATATTTATACAAAATCGATATAGAGCACAAAAAGCTATGAATGCTATAAAAACAAATTATTTAAATACTAGAAGTGCAGCTGTAGTTCTACAAACTAGATACAGGGCACAGGTTGCAATGAAAAAAGACTACATTTACTATACACAATTGAAAATATCTACCATTTTTATTCAAAGAAAATTCAGAGCAAACCGAGAAATGCAGGTGCAAAAACATGAATATTTGCAATTAAAACAAACCGTGATATTATTGCAAAATAAATTCAGAGCCAAATTAGCAATGAGAAAGGATAGAAATACGTTCAATAAATTAAAATATTACACTATAATAATTCAGAAAAAATTCAGAACAAAGTGTGTAATTAGGAAAGCTATGGCTGAATTTAAATTATTGCGAGCCTCTGCTATAGTTATACAAAATAGATTTAGAGCACAAAGGGCTATGCTGAGTGATAGGAATAAATATCAACTGCTTCTTAAAAGCGCAATCATCATTCAAAGGAGGTATAGAGCAAAAAAACTTATGGAACAATGTATAATCAATTATAATAAAGAGAAAGATTCCATAATATATATTCAACGAAAATGGAAAGCAACATTATTAATGAGGGAAACAAAACTTAAATACATTTCTTGGAGAAAATCAGCTTTGATTATCCAAAGGCAATATAGGGCCCAAAAACTTATGAAATCAGCAAGAGAGGAATATATTTTACTTAAGGAAAGTGTAATGAAAATACAGACTATGTACAGGACACATTTGGCAATGAAGAAATGTTTCATTCAATACAATTTGTTAAAAAAATATACCATCTATATCCAACAAAAATTTAGAGCTAATCAAATCAGTAAAAAAGTAAAATATGAATATGATCTACAGAGAAAAGTTGCTATTAATATACAGAGAAGATATAGAGCAAGTAAAGCAACAATTGTGGCTAGACATAATTATCTCGAGCTAAAGAAAAAAGTAATCTTCATTCAACGTTTGTGGAGAGCCAAATTGGCTATGAGGAAAGAGTTATATAAATACAAAACTTTAAGAAGAACTGTGCTACGGATGCAAAGAATATTTAGAATGACTCATGTATTAATACATGAACACGATCCCAAATTACGAAGAGTGATATCAATTTCAACTGTTATTAAAATACAGGTAATTCAATTATAATTTAAAAATGTATATTGTCAATTATTTATTATCTAATTTTATTCAAAAAGGCTTGGTGGAGAGCAGTTCAAGTAAGAAGAAAAATGCCCACAAAATTGAAAACCATTAGAAATAGACTGCACAAAGCATGTAAGGATCCTGATCCAATATCAATTGAAACAAAATTTAACTGGGCTATTGAAATGATATTATGTCAAACAAAATGTGAAGAAACAGCTGTTTATGATGCTTTAGGTAAAATTTAAATATTGTTTAATACCAATTTCAGTGATTTAAAACAGATAATATTTGATTATAGAATGTATGTAATCAAATATTAATTCAAAAAAAATTTATTTACAGTTTCCGCCTCTCGTATATGTCCAAACTTATTTGAAGCATCTGCAAGATTTTTAACAATAAGTTTATACATATCAATCATAAGTAACAACAGATCCGTGCCAGAGCTAATAATTGCTGGAAAATGTTCTGAAATTCTTGTCAACTTGTCCAAACACCCAAATACACTACAGTCTATATTATCTGTAAGTGCTAAGTACATGATCAATCTTTTTTACTATCTCATTTTTCTTTTACTATTCTCATTTTCATTATAGGCTGATCAAATTCCAGAGTTACTTACTTCGGCATCAAGATTTTGTGATAAGGAAATACTTTTATTTTGCAATATTTGCACTGTCTTATGGACATTTGGTCAGCATGAAAAATTCAAGTTGGTAAGTATTGTCTTAATAACCAATTAATTTATTTTGTCATTTAATAAACTCATGTATTACACTTTAGATTGTAAAACGAGTCCTTAACAAAAACGATTGCAAGAAAACTCTTCAATTAATTGCTAAAAAAGTTACAAGGCTCGATATTATGCAAAACAATTTAAGGAAAAATATAAAATCAAAAGTAAAGATGATTGAGCCGCTCTTGGTTCCAGACTATGGGCTCCCTAGGAAACATCCAAGAACTTTCGCAAATCCTAAATTTGCAACACAATGCTTAATTAGAACTTTCAGTATTCCAATTGAAATATGAAAACTAATAAACAACATTGTATCAGTGGAAACATACCTTTAAATAGCTTTTATTATACTTGTAAATAGTAAATTTTATGATTAATTTTAATAATATTTAAGATTTTATGAAAAAATTTTAATTCTACATATGTTTAATATATTATTTTATAAAATAAATTTAAATTGTATTAGATATTTTAGAAAATTAGTGTATGTGTATTTTTTATCATTAATTGATTTTGTTACATGTAATGCATATTGTATTCATTTGATGAAGAACTACTGATTTTTAATAAAAATAAAGGCTGATCCATTAATTGCTGTAGTTTTTTGCTAATTAATTGTTAGTTTTAGAAATAAACAACCTGAGTTCATTTCAAATTGATTTTCTGAACTACAGAATTTAAAATGAGCAAGAATGTGAAGAGATTGTGCAATTTGACATTTTTTAAATTAAATATAAAAATATTGCATAAATTAAAGTAACATTTTCAATTAAAATATTGTTTTCAATTTGAGTTTTGGTCTTCTTGGTGTGATATGCTGAATGATGACACATATCAAGTGTCAAAACGTTTAAATAAAGACGTGAAAATATTTCATATTACTTACTTGAAATAATTAATAGTCATCACATTTCTTTTAATAACTTGTTGCTTATTAATTTATATTTATCACTTTTATATTAAATACTCGTTAACACTGATTTTAAATACATATTTCAAATACATAAGTTATTACAACGACCTAACGACTACTGCCAGAGAAGCCATTTTGAATGTGAAACATAACCTCCTAACATCTTAGTTTAATGCACATGTCTGATAGTTGCAAAATATAATTAAAAGTTCATAAATATGATCTACAGCAATTCATAAATATGATTAAATTATGAGGGTGTGACTAAAGAAATATGGGGTTTGAATCAAGTTCCGATATATCATCGGACGAAAACTTTTTGAACCAAGTCAAAAATGCCATCCCTAAAGTGAATGTAGCAAGAAAACTCCATAAATGCGATTTTCCGAATTGCAATAAAGAATTTTCACGTCCTAGCAAATTAAAAAGGCACCAAAGCATTCACACCCAAGAGAAATTATTTACTTGTTCTTACCCCAATTGCAATAAAAAATATAGTTATTCATGGCATTTGAAGCGACATGTAAATAATGTACATGAGAAAATATTTTATAAACCAAAATACAAATGCGTATATGAAGGTAAATTAATTACATTAGCTATTGTATTTACATTGAAGAGTTTCAATGTAATTTATTCTTTATTTTTTTAGGATGTACTAAAGAGTTGAACTCTGATTTTTCTTTACGAAGGCACATAAAATATTTTCATTCAGAAAATTCACCCTCCTTACAAAAATATTCTTGTGATCATTGTTCACAAAGTTTTAAAAAAAAGAATCAACTAGCTGCACATGCATTTTCCCATACAAGTGATCAAAAAATTTGTTGCAAAGATTGTGACATAGTTTATGAAAATATAGCAGATTATAAAAAACATATATCAAGACATAAAACTTTCACTTGTGATTGCGGCGAGGTATTCCATCGCTGGACTAAATTCATGAGTCATAAAAGAACACAACATATCAGCACATATAATTGTGATATTTGTTCAAAGATCTTCAGAACTAAAGTGAATTTGAAACAACATAAATTGATTCATACAGATACTAGAAAAGTTTATGAATGTACATATGATGGGTGCCCTAAGTAAGTTATTTAATTTAACATTTTTAATACACAAAACAAACTGATAAAATTATTTTTTTCTAGGTATTACTACTACCCTCAAAACCTCTCCCATCACATAAAATCATATCATGATGCCGAAAGATTTGTATGTACATTTAAGGATTGTGGCAGACGATTTGTAAGTAATCGAAGATTAAAAATTCATATGGAAACACATGAACCTGGTTGGAAACCTAAAAAGACACAGAAAAAGAAAAAGCAAAAGCCACGTAAAGATATTGGAATACCTAAAAAAGAAATGGCTGCACATTTGGCTGGATATTTATATGGCACAGATATTGTAAAAGATGAAAATATTGAACCACCAACTGATGAGGATGACCTCATTAGTAATGCAACTTTACAAATTGATGGCTGTTCTGGGGTTCTGAATATTGTTGCAAGTAATACACCTTTAATAAATACTGTTGCTTGTTAAATATTCTTATTTTATATAATTCTATTACATTCTTGTATTATTGTAATAATTTTACATACTGTTATCTATCTGTTTAATAATATTTATTTAATATATCTTACATACTTACATAACTGAGTTTGTACAATAAAATATAAAAGTAATCACATGTTGGACGGATTCAGTTTCAACATTTTAATATATCTGGAGAGTATATTCTTAAGATTATTTTTCAATATAAAATTCTCAAATGAGATAAGGAATGTCCTAAGAATTTATAAAATAACAATCCTAATACTGATGAACACATTAAAAAATATAAAATTACAATAGTGCAATAATTTAACAACTACATGTTAAAACTAACTGTTATAGATAATAATATTATCTATGAATTAAGTTCCAAAACATAAAAGCTGCAAGTAAAATATAAATTCCACCTTGGATACTACTTGCACCAGCCAGTCTACATTTGAAAAGATCATACCTTGTCTCTTTGTCTTTGACAATATTTTCAAATTCAGCTTCTACTAATTGACCATCATAATATGTAATTAAATCTTCAAATGGATATTCAAATCCTTGGTTGCATTCACATTTGTAACCACCTGTCTCAAAACCGCGGCCCAAAATGGGTACACACTGTAATACAAATACATATAATAATACCAGCATTAAATATCTTCAACATCTGCTTCTTATACATACATATGAGCTTTTTTTGTCACATTTGTGTGTATCTTTGAAAGCATTTGGCACGTAAAAGTCATCTGGACATTGGTTGATATCTAATTGCTGCAAGTCCATTGTAACAGCAACAACACCCCTATAATTTAAAATATAAAATATTTAAAATAACAATAACAACAAAATATCAAATATGTTTAAATAAAAATACATACTTAAACTCTAGTTTAACTTTTTTTCCATCCCATCCAAAGAATGGTGATGCATATGTTATAAGCCATTTTTTCACTTTGCCTTCGCAATCAAATTGTGGGGCAGTCCAATGTCCATGATCAATATTTGCAGCTCGATAAAAATTTGGATAGTTTTCATATTTCATCAAAAATTCTCCAGTTTCATTATGTCTTATTTGAATTTTCATAGCAAACTTCTCAAGATCTTCAAAATTTGTAGACCAACGTTGTTTCAAGAACTGAAACCATTGTCTATTTGTATATAATTCTTCTGCAATATAAAATTCAAATGTTAATATAACAACTTTTCACAAAATGATCATTTCAGAAAAATCAACTAACCAGTTTTATTTAATCTAGCTAAATCTTCTACTTTAAATTGCCTGTTATTTAACTCTTTTCTATATGCAAATGGTGCAAAGAAAGTACGGTTTGTAAACTTATTTCGCTCCCAAAATGTACCAGCACTCCAAATTTTTGTATCACCAAGTACAAGTGATAATGTTTCTCCAATCATCTGATCTTCTGAAAGTGGTTTGTCAGCTACTCTTTTCCCAGAATAAACTTCAGTAGGATCAGAGATCTATAATAATTTAATACATTGATTTATAGATGTAAATAAGCAGAAAGATTAAGTATACATTAATATAATCCATATGAAAACTACCTGCAGAAAAGCACTAATAAAATTAGCCAACCGAACGGCCATCAAAGCCTCATTTCTAAATTGTTGCTCTGCTCCAAAAGCAATGTCTCCATGCAACATTAAATCTTGAGGATGAAAACTGTAAAATTTGTTTTTGAGTTGAATTATTATATGTAAACGCTTTATTTAGATTAATATAAACATCTAAACTTACTTTTTGCATGTTTTATAATTTACACCTTTAATAAATTTCAAAGCCTCATCTATGTTCATTCTTTTATTATGTAATGAGCTTGATCCTGATGAGTAATTTCTATATTCATGAAACTTCTCCAAATATTTTTCTCGTACATAGGGATGTGCAATCTCCCATTGTATAGGCATCTTATTCACCCCTGAAATCATTTAAAATTTTTAGCACAAGATTCATTAAATATGTGTTAATTAGTCTTACATCCTATCTTGCTGCAATCAAACCCATTATAATATTGTTCTGATGATGCTCTTTCAACAATTTCTCCTAAATATGGTCTTCTAACAACACTTGGCAAACGAAAACCAGGTTTACACCGGCATTGATAACCACCTCTCCTAAAACCCCAACCATGTAATGGTTCACACTAAAAGTTTTATAATTGTTTCATTATTAACAATATTATATGTACAATCAAGGTGAAACTAATTTTACAAATATGAAGCATTGCCAATCATAGCAGTAATATTTTACCTCAGTTGTTTCCTTTTTGCATCTGGCAGTATCAGCAAATCGGTTAGGGCCACTATTACCTTCACCTTTGGGACATTGATTGATATCAATTCTGTCCATGTCAAGCTCTAATACTACAGCAGCAGTATATCTAAAATTTGAAAACGTCAAAGGTAGTAATTTATAAGTGATTTACATTTTTTTTTGAATATCACTAAATATTTTCAATCCAAGTTCTAAATAAAGCAACAAAATATATAATTTATATTAAAATCATACTTGGGATATTCAATGTGTCTAAATTGTGTGTGACGTGGATAAATATCAGCAATTGGAACCACAGCAGCTACCATCCATTTATTTGAGCGACCACAATCAAAATAAGGTCTAGTCCATTTAACAGGACCAGGTACTTCATCAGCCCGTGGAGGTCCATGGAAGGTAAATGTTTCATTGGTATTGTTGGCATAACGTATTTCTATTTGGTATGTAGTTTTAGTATCATGTCTCTTCTCAACATTATCGGGCAACCATTTTTTGTACCATTCATTGATTCTAGGTAGTTTAATACAATATGTAGTTAATCAATATATAAAACACATTTGGTATTTTATGTTGAAAATTTAATTTGAATTTAAATTATATATAAATTGTAGTCTATACCTATAAAAATCTGATGTGTAATCAGAACTCAATTGATCAGACCTGATGGCACCAAGATCTCGAACAGTAAAAGTATTTAAGGTAGATATTTTTTGTAAATGAATAGGATCATTAAAATCATCTGCTCGAAAAGTTCTTGGAGCAAATAAAGGCATGGTTTTGTTAAAGAAGCCTCTATAAGATGAAGTATATGAACTATTTGGTGAAAAATATATGGCACTAGCATTTACAAAGGGATTTGCTGAAACATCGGCAACAGTTGACAGGAAATAGTACATCATTCCAGGATCGTATGTGTCATTAATTGCTGGTCTTATGAATCTACTTTGTAAAATATAACTCCAAAAAAATGATCTGCTTATGGCTATGTTATGCAAATGTAGAAGAGCAGTTCGATTTGGGAAAACTGGATTTATATTCAGGTCTTTGATATCAGGCAAGTGAGACACAGAATCTTCAGGTAGATACAAGTCGCCAAGATGTTGAATTGGACAATTATCTGGCGTAACCTGGTCCATTTTCGCTCGAATTTCATCGAAACTATCTCGTAATTGCCATTCGTACTGGGCGTAAACGCCCAATCCTATGACACACCCAAAGAATAATAACCGAGAAAAGAATATTGTGTCACTCATCTTGGATGTTTTTATTTAGAAAACAACGTGTTTAGACGTCACCGTCAGATTCACATATTTCGCGAAATAATTATGTATTTTAAAACATTTAATAAAACACTTTGGTTATGATAAGTTTGATGACAAACACCAAACCACTAGCAACGACTTAAAAACACAAACACCTGTAGCGTGGATAACATTTTGTTAACAACTTCACGTATGTAGAGTCGCACGATGAGTTTTTCCGTTAACATTTGAAATAATAAACTATCTGTAGTGTATATGTTACCATCAAATTTAAAAGTAATAAATCTTATTTATTATCTTAAAAGGTTAAATTAAAAGAAAATAAGTGAATACAAACGATTCCCAATAAGTTTTCATATAACTCTAGTCTGTAATATAGATAATAATTATCATGATACATAAGTCAGAAATTTAGATTTGATATATTCTAATGGAAGAATTGGATACAATAGATTTATTGGAAAAATGGTTAAATTTTAAAAATGCCTTATATATTAATATATAAGCCTTACATATAAACTCTTTAATTAATATATTAAATTTTATGGACTTTTTTTTGAATTTTCAATATCTAATAGATGAAATGGATACAAAGGATTTATTGGAGAAATAGTTAAATTTGAAAAATACCTTATATATTAATTTATATTCCTTATTATTACTATATAATTTATATATTAAATTTTATGGACTTCTTTTTATAATTTTCATCATCTGATAGTGTGGTGATAGTTGTGCTTTCGCTAGTCATAAGAGTAGTTTCGGAATTCCCTTCTGTGCTTGTAGATATATCTTGTTTTAGTAAATTAGCTGCATCTTCTCCAGTATGAATGACTCCTTTACACATATCAAGCTGATCACTCAATTTATCTCCAACTTTTAATATCGCTTCATCAGACAAAATATCTTCGGATTTCGGTTTAAGAGGCACTTCAATCAACTAAAATAAATAAATAAAATATATATATATATATATATATATATATATGCATTAATTTATTTATTTATATACTAATATATTAATTAATTTATTTATATACATATAGTTAACCTTTATCTCCTCATTCGGTACACGATCTAGAATTGTCTTTGTGTTATTAAAGAAAGCTTCAATTTTCGCTTTTGGTATTGGTTGCTCACCTGGTGTACCTTATGTAGCAATATAACAAATTTAATTTTCTTATTATTAATTAATTTAAATAAGAATTGCAGAAAGAATTCGTTGAATTTGTTGAATTAAATTAATATTTAGAAATGCAAATGAGAACATCGTACCGTTTTTGGCACATTCGATATCTTTGATAGGGACCATTGTAGTTGGAACACAGGAAGCTTTTGTGGGAGAACCAGAGGTAGTATTTGCAGCAGACATTGTTATCAAAGAATTGTTAAAATTGCCTAGATTTAAAAAAAAATGTATTACAGCATTCTCAAAAAGCCAACCTAATAATTTTCTTTCCAGAAAAATTATAATGTGTATACCAAAATATATGAAGTTGATAGCTCGAAATGTTATATAAATCTGATGACTCGAAATATAAATGAATATGAACAAAGAACATATTCTAATACCTTGTCCTTTTGCACTTTGAACAGTAGTTGCTGGCGCGGCTGACGCTACAATTACTTGTGATGTTGTCATCTTTTGTGGGAAAGTCGTTGCTTTAGTTACTGAAGTTCCAATAGAAATTTTTGGTGTGGCAATTTTTATTATTGCTACTGCACTTGAGTTTATTCCTTCAGTAGGCGGGGTAAGAGTGGTTTCACATGCCATTGTCGTAGCACTGCAAATGAAATTCAGTGAATCGTTTATAAAAATGAAAATTTGTATCGGACATACCCATGTCGTGACAAGCGTTCTTTATGCTCTATTGGTCCATTTTCTTCATAATCATCACTATCTAATGCTTTATCTTCGACTTTCTGGTGTTCGTCAGATCGCAATCTTTTCTCAGCAGGTTGCATGTAATAAACCTCATTTCCAATGTCCTACGTTAATAATGTATTTGTAAACTAGATTTTGAAGTACTTTTATTTTTTTCCATCATACCTCATATGATGTTTCTGTTATCGGTTCCATATTTGCAATTTGTTTATCGTTCTCATCAAATTCGTCATTATTGCTGTGTGCATAACGCATGTGTCTCCATAAATGTTCATAAGCTTCTCTTGAAAGCCGATAGGCTTTATTCTGCAGAAATATATGCTTAAATGAATTAAGTTGATAAGATACAAACTATTATGAAACATTGTATATTTTATAGAGTAACCAACAAATAAAGATTTTTTTAAATTTTAATTAGATTTTAGTAACATTAAAACCATAATTTAATTTAGTAACCTTTGATTCTTTGGGCGGACAGTTTTCGGGGCATTCTTTACGTACTGTGCATAGTTCTCTGTCGCCAGGCTTAGGACCTACTTCAGTCAAACATACTTCAGGATCTGCTATAATATCGTCTTCACCTAAAGAGGAGAAAAAAAAAGTTGTGTTGTTTAACATTTATTTTAATAATTACAACTCGCTTAAATAATAAATAAAAATCATACCGATTTTAGGAGATTCACGCACGCATTGAACTGTTCGTTTTCTAATTCCAGAACGAAAAGTGCAACCAGTACACGGACCCCATTCGCTTTTACGCCATCTGAAAATAATTAAATTTCTTATTCTATTTGTTTACTAACCCTGTATCTCATGATAGAACAGAGAGAATTTGAATTAATAAGAAGAATAAATTTTGATAGTGGTTGATTTACTTGGCTTTACAAGGTTGATCATTGCACAACTTGGTTTTAGGATCAGGTTTAGCACCGGCATCGCACATTTCAGGTCCAACTCTACCGACATTATCTTGAACACAATTGGGTCTAAAAAATATAATAAGTATTTTTATTACAATTCTTAATGGGCCTCTTAGACCAATTTATACTTGGATATGCTGACGCCTCCTCCGCACTGAGCAGAACATGGTAACCACTCTAAAAATTCCCAATGATAAGGGTTTGGAGCCTCAATATTTAACGGAGATTCTGGAGTATCAGATGATGTTAAAAGATCTGCAAAAAAGTGATCTAAAATTTAGTTTAATTTTTGAAACATACTATATATATATATATATATATATATATATATATATATATATATATATATATATATGATTTAATTCTAAGTTACCTAAATTAGAAGGCTCAGTCGTCGGTGCAGTAACCATATCTGATACAGATTCAGACTCCTTATCACCAGAATCGCCTTCTTGTCCTGGCATTCCGGCATTAAGAATTTTTTCCTCCCTTTCCGCTTTTTGCCTTTTTCGTGTCTGAACTTCTTTTTCTGCTTGTGCAATTTCACTCTCAGATACAGGCGTTGAATATGCGTATTTTATACCAGGATTATTAGCAGAATAAAAAGAAACCTAGAATAATAAACTAATTAATGAAAAAAATCCTAAAGCCATTATGTCCTCTGATAAAATTTACTTGTAGTATTAAGTCTTGTGTAAGTGGTCCCCCAATCATCAACTCTTCTCTAGTTGGCTCTGGATGAGTGTAGACGCCAACAGCACCACCAAAATCTTTTTCACCATCTACATTCTCACGACTAAAAATGTAATAATGGTATTATGCTCTGATTTTTCAAAAATAATATAATTTATTTATGCTTACTTATCACCATTGAGGAAAAATGTTGTACCATCAGCAGCCGAAACTGCCAAAGTATTATCAGAGGCAGCTAATTCGACTGCTATAATATTTCTCGAGCCTTTAGGTATAGTCGCAATCTTAACATATCCTGTTTAAAGTTCAATATGAACAAATAATATAACAAAATAAAATATAATTATATATTACCTGGTGTTGGTTTATCTTTAAACACTTTTTCAATTCGTTGACATTCAGTGCCTTTGCCATCGCAAATGCCACATATATCTTCAACAGCGTCTGAATCGAACTCCCAGTCACAGCCTACTTGCTGTAATAAATTATTTTAATTTATATTTAGTTGATAACTGTAATCGATAGCTTTGCTTACTTTACAGTAACCAGCCACGCACATGTCTCTAGTGCCCCTTTTACACTTTGTACCATCCTTTGCTCGCGGTGCGAGCTTTACGTAAATGTGCTTATTGTTAATGCAATACAAAGCACAAGGATCGGTATTAATTTTGCCTGTATAAGGCAACCACTTCAGCAGTTCACCGTTAAAAGGTTTTTCATCAAATTTTTTGCATTGAACAAATCGAAAACTTGGAGAATCATGCGGGCAATCCTAAAATAAAACCACAGCTCATACTATCTGTAAGTACTTGATGAATAAGTAAAACACAATTTACCTTCGTATTACAAATTTTGATACGTTTGCGATCACCAAGACAATAACGGCCTTTATTTTGTGGAATAGGATTATCACATTCCCGCTCTGATATTGATACTCCTCCGCCACAAGTTCGTGAGCATTCTCCCCAGGCGCCCCATTCGCCCCAACCGCCCGCAATCGAGCCAGGACGAGCTCCTATTTCAACGCACGTCCTATTGTAACACCACTACAAAACAAATAAAAAAATATTTATAAAAATAAAAGAATTTTTATAAAAATAAACAAATATATTAATAAACAAAATCGAATTGATTTTTATCCGTTAAACATTATTAAATACTTACCTTGTTCTCTCCGCATTTTGTACCTTCAGCTGGTGGTTCTCCCTTAGATGAACAAGAAGATGGCTTGTTTTTGCAAAAAAGCATCTGTTGTCAATATATTAGGCATTTAATTAAATATGTACATGAAAAAGCTCTATTGAAATAATTATAAAAAAAATACTTTGCAAAATTTTTCTTGATCTACTTCGCAGGCAGTAGATCCAGGAAAATCTAAGTCGCACTGATAATCAGCATCATATATAGCACCTAAAATTATTAGTGAATTATTTATATTATGTCAGATACTTTCTATTTCTCTAATATATTTTACCAGGTGGCATCTCCAAATCTTTAAACTTTGATTCTTGCGGTTTGTCATTTAAGCATTCTCCTAAATTATTTCTAAAACACACACATTAAAATTATGAACAAAAATGCAATTAGTTATTAACTTACTCAAAAAATGTTGTCATAAATGATTTGCTACAAGTGGACCATCTTCCAGTTGATAAATGAACAAAAGGAGACATAACATGGTAACTTTTATCTGGCGCTTGAGCTTGGCAGCCCGATTCCTCGGGCTTGTCATGACCACAACCCATACTAAAAAAATAATAAATTCATTTTTTATGAATTTTATTCATTACAGTTAGCAACAAATTAATAGTATATACACATGTCCCATTTCATGAGCAGTAACTACGCCAAGCATTAGTCCTGAATCTTCATTGATAGCGCAAGATCTGTCTCCGGTGCATGCGGCTGCAACATTTGCTAGGCCCAAAAGACCACAATTTTTCATTTTGTCGGAGCAAATATCATACCTTCAAACAAAATTCCAGGTGAATCTCATTTTTCATAATTTATTGAACTGAATGTTGTAATTTTTCTACTTTTTTTCTTGTCATTTATTAAAAATATAAAATATTTGTGCTACTACAACGGTGAGAGCTATCCACATACAACAAATAAACAAAAAATAATTAATTATTGATTATTAAGAAACCTTGTGAATAAAACAGCAATATCATGATGATGAGGATGTTGAATATCTGAAGGGTTGACACTTTGCTGCCATGCACAAAAACTATCTAAAGTTTTTTCGGCATCTTGACTTATTGACAAATCTATCGCTTTTTTCTCTTGCTCTAAGTAAATTAAACGAACAACAACGACATCCATTTGATTGCCAGAACTGGCATCGTGATAAAAATCAGCAACCTAAATGAAAAATGAATAATAAAAGAGATAACATCTTAAAAATGATAAATAAAATGAAAATCCATAAAGAATGATAAATTAAATAAAAATCCATATAATAACAGAAGAGTATTATAAGCATAAAATGATTGTATATATAAAAATGAATAAAAATAACTATATATACAACTTGCCATATTCATGATTGTCATTATATAAGTTTCGTGATCTCTGTCTTTATGATAATCCAAAAACTTTTTATCAACCACCACTAAAGTTTCCAAATATCTGTGTTTGCTTTCATATTCGCCTCGCTTCTTATATTGAGAACTTGAAGCACTTTTTACTTTATCTTTAATTTTTCGGGGATATTCCATAGACTTTTTATTAATACTGCTTGATTTTTTATGATTAATATCACGCTTTTTCAATTCCTCGCTTCTGTAAATGATTTAAACAATTTTGTTATTATCATTTAAGTATCTACATGGTTTTGCTGTCTAAAACAACCATATCATACCTGAATCTTCTTAACCAACCTTCTTCCCACTGATTTGTACCACATTGACCAGGTATTTCAAAATTTTTATTGTTATTTCGTCGTGAATATAAATTTTCTCGTTTAGAAAATTGTTGATCAGTATGTTTGCCTTTACGACGATTCAGGGGTCTCTCATCTAAAAACATTACTTAGAAAAATCTTGCAATATAACATTTAATTAATATCGAGATATTAATATATTTGAACGATTTTATCATATATCAATAATTTATATTTACAATCAGAAACTTCTTGATTATGACGGTCAGATAATAAACGATGGATGTGGTGACGAAAATTCTTGAACCGATTACCTCCAGTACTGTATGAATCATGATGACGACTAATACATTTTTATATTAATAAAACGCAATACTACGTTAATTATAAATATTTTTTACCTTTGTTCAGAATCTCGTGCGTTTTCTTCATTACTTTTTCCATGTTTAGAAGCAGTTGAATATGGAGAAAAGATATAACTATCATCGTCAGTGTCTACTGTTGTTAATCTATATTTTAAATTAGAATAAATATTCAAGATTGTAATTAATTTTTGTATATCAGTTTCTCATACGTAGGAAAATGTAGATCTCCCTTTATACTTTTAAATTCCGAGTGAGTAGTTGTTTTATATGTTGTGCTATCAGCGGCATTTGCCGTTGTTTTGACTTCACCATGAGGTTGTATTATATAATTCTCTTCAAAGTCTTCCTTCCCAGCATCAGATGTTTGATTTCCTGATTATAAAAAAATATATATTTTTAAAACAAAACAACCATATAATTACTACTCGCAAGCCTACCTCCACCTTCAGGCATATAAACTACATTTTCAGGTAATGGTTTATCTAAAACTACTGATGGTTCAGTATTTAAGAAATCAATATTATTTTTTTTATCTTTTCCTGGAATCGGAAAATTTTCTTCTTGAGTTTCCTGTATTTCTTTAGGCTTGCTATTAAATTTTTTTGATTTTTCAATGTTTTGAAGAAAAGATTGTTCCGGCCTATGTACAATATGAAGATGCTGCCCTAATGAATTTGGTTCATGATCGAGCGCTGGCTCTATGAAGTACGTTCCAAAGGGTGCTCTTATATAACCCGCCTATACAAATACCAATATAATATAATCATATTTATAGGTATTCATTTTTTTCAGATTTTACATTAAAATTTGTTAAATTATAACATTAAAGTATAAACTTACAATTCCTTCGCAAAGTGCTAGAGCAACTCTTGAACCTGGCTCCCCGCGTACTACTCCAGTATAATAGCATTGTAATGGACGTAATTTATTTAAAGTTCTCGAAGATACCGTTCTGTCTGCCTCAGCACCATGTCTTTCTAAAACCTACAAAAAATCATGTCATATAAAGCAATTCTAACGATAACTAAGATTATTAATAAATTAATAATAATTTATAAACAAAATTAGAATCAATTACTGCGTCTGGCGAAAGAAAACGATCATTGGGCCATAATTCCACATGAAGTTCTTCATCTGGGCCTATCGGAATCATATAATGTTCCTCAGGTTCACTTTCGCGTTCCATAAAAAGTGATGGTTTAGTCATTTTAAAGGATTCGTCTTCTTTTTGGCGTTTATTCAAATAATGTTTATTACTATTTGTATTTTTACTTTGTTGGCCCAGAATATCATTTCGTTCACCAAAAATATCATTTAGTTGGTCCAGATACAATGGATTTTCATTTTTCACTTCAGCGCTACCAGATTCATATCTATAAGGCTGTATAAACTTGTGTGACGATTGGAAAGATCCGACAGATTTTGGCACTGGAACTAGAAAAAAAGCATTTAGTGATATTTTAATATCTTTCAATTTAATTTATTAATAAAATATACAAGCACCGTCGTTATTTGCAAGCAAATCTTCATATTGAGCACCTGCATCTGCATTCTTGTTTTCATTATTAACATTTGGCCTATTGTCAGGGATCTTAATTGATGTACTAGAATAGTCGAGTATTTGCCTCCTTAACCTTTTATTGTTCTTTAAATCTATTTTCAATTTGCTAGCTTCTATCACATTAGGAGTTTCATTTATGTTTTCGCGTTTGCTTCTCGATTCACGCGCAGATTCCAAAACATGATCGTGGTTATCTGATTGTAGGTCTTGCTCTTCATTTTCTTCATAAGGCATAGCATTTCTTTTATTTCTAACTAAACTAGCATGATCTAAAATTTCTTCTGCAGCTTCTTCTTGCGAAGGTATTATGAATTCTGGAAATCTCAAATCTACATCCGAATCTCTGAATAATGTCTCCTGCACATCTGAATGTTTTAAAGGTATTGGGCTACTTGTAACATCCCTTTTATGTCTTTTAGTACTAGTATGATAAAAGATTTCATACTGAGGCTCACTTTCTGTGAGATGGTCAGCATTAATAACTGTATTTATTTTGTTTGAGATCTCTTTCTTTTTCCGTGATACATTTGGGTGTTCTAAAATTTTCACCCCTTCATCTAAATTATCGTCTACAAAGGATTCAGCAAAATTTATACCATTATTCGCTTCATAATTAGAATGATCATGATTATTGGACTTTGATAAATCATTGCCAGTTTCAGGAATATCAATGTAATTGATGTTAGTGAGATCTGCAAGATCTGATCTTTGCTCATTATTCGTATCAGAATTTTGAGCTAATGGCGAATAAATATTATAATTTTTTGGCATTTCACCATGTTTACTTTTTTCGGAATCCAAAACGCTTCTTTCCTTCATCAATTTTGCATTGTCAGTTTTTAGTGCGTTAGAAGATCGTTTTGCTTTTTGATCAAAATCCCAATTTAACTCGTCTTCTTCCTGTTTCTGATCATCGTCCTCATTTGACTTTTTTTTTAATGATTCTTTAAAGTTATGTGCCCGAGTATCAGAGAACTTTTTAGTAGCCCTACACTTCTTTTTATCTATAGAATTTGCTTTATGTTTTTGCTCTGTTAATCAGTTAAAATTATTAAATGACGTTTTAAAATTATTAATTAATACAAAAGGATTATAATTTGAAAGACATACCGTTTTTTACACTAGAGTCGTTACACTCCTCTTTACCTATAGAACTTGCTTTATGTTTTTGCACTGTTAATTAATTAAAATTATTAAATGATGTTTTAAGAGTATTAATTAATACAAAATGATTATAATTTGAAAGGCATACCGTTTTTTACACTAGAGTCTCTACACTTCTTTTTACCTATAGAACTTGTTTTTTGTTTTTGCTCTGTTAATCAATTAAAATGATTAAATGATGTTTTACAAGTATTAATTAATACAAAATGAATATAATTTGAGACATACCGTTTTTTTCACTAGAGTGTACGGAGCATTTAGATTTTTCCTTCGTTGCACAGTTAATTGTATTTTCTTTCGATACATCTCTTCGTTTCCTGAAAATGTGAACAATTTATATTGGATAATTGTTTTATTTTAACTGTACAACATACCTATAATATTCATATTTCCTAGGTAAGTGGTAAGCTATAAAGTCTCCATCAGCATTTACCCTCCTTGGCACAACCGCATAAAAATTGCTGATGTCTCTTGTATAACGTCCTATTTTATTAAAAGTAGTCGAAGCACAATTCACATTTAAATTTATTATAATACACTAATTCAGGATGATAAATATTACCTCTTACAACATGAATATCATCCTCGTCTTCAAATTCTAAAGAAGCGCATATTACGATAAAGCTGAATATTAAAAAAAATAGTTTTATACAAGTATACTTGGTGACAGGACGTATATTATTGTTAACGAATATATTAAACATATTCTTGTTTTATATAAAATATATTAACTAAAATGACATTCAAAACAAATGCGATCCGATCTATCAATATATTAAAATTTACAAGATTTCAGACAATATAAAAAATTCCGATTAAATACGAATGTGCATATTATTTTACAGGTTTTTGGTTTATTGTATATTAAAATAATCAGTAAATTAATAAAAACACATAATAAAACTTATATAATTATTTATTGACATGTTAATAAGAATATCATAGCAGGCTGTTATATTCATATCCATGATAAGTTTGAAATTGAGCTTATCACAGATTTACAAAGTAATAAATATTAATAAAAAAACTTAAATTTGATTAACTAATTGATTTTGAAACTAGCTAAAGTCATTAAGAAATTTTTTTGCATTTGTGTCTAAATAATTATTTAAAGCTCGTATCTTGCTTTCTTGTTCTTGAAGTGTTAAATTTAATCTTTCATATTTATTTATTAATTCTTTTTTGGCAGTTCGTCTAGATTTATCAAATACTCTATCAAATCTGTCTAATGTTTTCAAAGCTCTTGAAATGCTATCACCGATTTCGTCAATTGTTGAAATATGTGAATTTAGTTTTTTCCGTTTATTGTCATACTCGTAATCTTTTTCAATAACTTCGAACTTCTCTTGATCAGCTCTGTTTTGTAGAATAAATTGCTTGCATTTCAACCACCAAGGCTCATTCAAATAATTTAAAAAAAGTTTAGTGTTATATACAATAAATAACGAAGGATCTTTACTTAAAATTCTGTTCAATTTTTCAGTGACTAGGTCTCGAACTAATACATCGATTATATCAGTCCAACACATGTTCTTCATTTGTGTTTGAAAATCTGGTGAATGATTTACATTTTTGAAGGCAACGCAGAACATTTTCGATGCCAAAGCTTCAACTTGCTCTGAACCTGGTAATATTTTTGCACAATGTTTTATCAAAAATGTATTGAATTCTGTTGCGTCTTGTATGTAACTGGTATCATCAAAATAAGGCATTTCAAAGTTTTTTATTACGCTTCTAATCCTACATAGATGTTTTACATTCCTCCAGTTTTCCGGAAAATATTCGTAAGTCAATGTCGTACTCAATGGTTCGGGTAAAAAACGCCTCAGTTCCGGCGCAAAATCCTTATATTCGTGCAGGGACTCATCGGATATCATTTCCAAACATTTTCCAACAGCGTTGTTGTATAACTGTATTATGAAATTAGGATCTAAAAATAGTTTCCGTAATACATAGTTATTTCTAGAGGCAAAAGCCAATTTTTGAATAAGTTCACTCCCAAGACAATCGTAGATAAATGATTCGAAACTATCCATTTGTAAATGTGAATCAGGTATGCGAAGTTTTGATAACCATTCCAAAGCTTCTGTAGACAAGCTATGAAGGGTATTAAATTTATGATCTTCACTAATTAAAATACAATATCGATCACTGAAACCGTTATCACGCAAAAAACTATCAAATTCTTCGACATCACAATTTGCGTCATGCTTAGCTTTTACACATATAATAATAAATGAAAATGTTGGCCTATCACGATGTTTCAGAACCTTCATGAGTCTTTCTTTCATTCTTGTTTGGGAAAAGCTATCACTCATAGTGAAGAATATCATACTGTTCATTCCTAACAGGTCTTCAATATTATTACAACACCCAATATTTTTTCTATACGAAATCGCTACAGAAGTAGCGTAATTTCTATCAAAATACTCATTCAAATGTAACTGATTTTTATCTTTCGAATCATCTGTCTCCCTAAAAGCGCGGTCAACCCAATTATCAAGATATTTTGACCAATAACTTCCTTCTATTTCATCAGGAATAGATATTATCACTTTCCAATATGCTTTGCTTTTCGGTTTTAAATTCTGACTAGAAGTGATAATGTTTTCACAGAGCTCGCGCAATTGGTTTATTTTTTTAACTGTTTCATGTTCAACAAATATACTATCAACAGAAAAGTTTTTATAATTCAATATATTTTCGAGAGCGGATTTCTGATTTTCTCGATATAATAAAGATGCTTCTTCATCCACAGATCGTGCAGGTATCCAAATTGGAGTTTCTTCAATCGCTTTTCGTTTTAACTTTCTAATCAATACATTTTCTAACCATAAATTGAAATATTTTTTAGCAATTCGTTGTTGATTTTTAGTTTGTAAACTTTGAAGACTTCTATGAACCCTCAATTCTAACAATACCTCTTCATGTAAAACTGTCTTTATAATATCTGTAATAAACTGATCAGTCAATTCTATAGCACTATTACAGATTTTATTGAACCTTTGCAGCTCCTTTAATGCTTGAGATTTACATGTTTGTGAAATCTCTTCAGTTAATATTTCATCAAATAACTTTGAAGCTTCTTTTATACAGTTTTCAACAGCAATTTGCTTTTGTTTTTCTTTTTCTTCTTCAAGTTTATTTAAGTCAATTAATTTTTTGTTCTTTACATCAATATATTTGTTTTCGGTTTCTTTGGATGTTTGTTGCTCCAAATTCTTTTGTTGGGAAAATATTGCTTCAGGCTGAATTTCAGGTTGCTTAACTAAACCGAATGTAAAATTATGAATATTATTTGTATTGTTTTGTGGTGTACTAGTATGTGAAGTTACATTATTATTGTTAGAAGATGTTGCGAAAGAAAAGGGGCTATTTGATATGCTTAATCCAGTAGTAGAGCCTGCAAATACTGATTTTTCCCCAGGCACATCTATTTTCAATGAATGATTATTTTGATTAGAAGCAGTTTGACTAAAGATGGTATTAGAAACATTTGACTGTGTATTATCAGGTTGTTTTGAAAAAATATTCGTTCCAGAAGATGCAAAAATATTTGGATTTGAAGTATCAGTAAATATATTACTTGAAGTCGTTGAAGCAGTTTTGAAAATGTTAGTAGATTGTGATGAATTACTTGCAGATGTAATTATTGTTTTTGAAAGATTATTGTTAATAGGAATTTGAAGCAAATTAGTTGATAATTCGACATTGTTATTGGTTTTAGGCTGTGCAAAACTGCTCATACCAAAAATATTATTAGATTTATCAACTAAACTACTATCAGAAGATGAAGGCTTTTCAACATCTGGCGCTGGATTAATTTTCTTAAATATGGTACTTTCAAATGTAGGGCTAGGTGAACAAATGGTTGCCTCATCATTTGTTAAAGTCTGATCGCTAGCTGATAAAGCTTCAGAAGTTAAGTAACCTTCTTCATCAAAGCTATTATGAGGTACATATCTTGAGAAATCCATTTCTGGTAATGGGCCTCCATAAATAGCTTCACCAACAGTGCACGAACGCTTGGATTCTATAATATTTAAGCACCTGTTCGATTGAAGAGAAAACTCAGGCTCAGCAAACATTTGTTTATCTAAATATATGATGTCTTCTGTAATATTGCAAGATAATCCATAATTTTCTACAAAGTGTATGCATTGTTCAATGTCCTCAAATGCTAGAATGTTTGTCATATCTGTTAAAGAAAATGTAGTAGGAATTCTAGCTACAAATGATTTCACAATGATTGTGATAGCTTTTGCTCGCACTTGATTAAAATATCTTAGTAATACGCAAGCATTAAGATAGGTTGTTTCACGAACTAGTTTGAAAAATTTCACATAATTATTACTGTCCACTGCCAAAAACACTTTGATGGCAAATTGAACCTGTGGCGACTGTTGTATTGCAGGGCTCCATCTTTGTACTTCCCACATAAAATTGCAATTGTTTAAATTTAATAATATTATATAAGCTCGAAACTCGGCTTCATTCTCACAAATTTCTCCTCTCTTGCCAAGGTCGTGATACATATATTTTAGGGACTGCAGGCATTTGGTAAGATTTTCAGTGTTTATTCTTTGATCAAATACTGAAACGTCTTCACTTGCAAGTCGAGCTGCACAGTGAATATGAAAACGCGCGCATTGCTCAACTAATTTTACAGAGCCTGTACAACATAAACCTTGTTGGGTTAAATCTTTTCGAATACTTCTTGTTCTATCCCAGAAGAAATGATACCAATCGTTCAAGTTCACCTTTAACAAAATTTATATAATATTTTTTATACAATATAATATCTCCAAAAATCTATGAACTTCGAATTATGTTCTCATGTAATAAAGTGTACTAATTGTATTATCATAAAAAATGAATACTAATATATTCCTTATATATGAGTAGATAAAACTTTTATAAAGTTGGCTTTCATGTTGAGTTAAATAAATAGTGTTTAATAATTAATTAATAGTTATATAAAAACTCATACTCTCCCAACATTTCTCACATGCCATTTGTAAACTTAGTATTCAACAGAACGAATTGGCATTTTAATTGAAAAAAGAATGATAGTCTTATATTTATGAATCAATAATAATAATAATATATAATGGTAATATTCACATTTTGTTCCTCACTAATATCAGCAATCTTCAGCAAAAGATAAGACATAGTTCTTTCTAATACTGGAACAGGCCTTAAATCATGAGGCAGAGGAATTTCTTGATCAGCTGAGCTTCTTGAATATTGTTTAACTGCTGCGTAATGATCCATTACACGTGAATCATGTAAACTTTGCTCATATTGTGCAATCTGAAAGATCATTTAATGATAAATTATCTTTAGATTTAAATAAAAACCAAACAAAGAGATATTTTGCATACTTGATGTTGATATTCACGCATCAGACGTTCTTTTTCAGGACACATGTCAGGGCAGGTTCCTTTAATATGATCTGATTTAACAGAAGCCTCATTTGAATCTTGTAATCTAATAAGTTGATCTCGGGCATCTAGTGCCCTATATTTTTGTTCAATAGTTATTGCTGGCGAAGTTAAAATATCTGAAAATTAAATACGGTTAAAGTAACTGTTCATTAAAATTAACAGAAGTAAGTTACCTTTAAGGTTATCTATATTAGCTGACTTGATTGATATCGGTTTAGTATCAACATCAATAGTTTTTTGTGGCTTGACTTTTTTTGGTTTTGATAGTTGATTTTTAGCAGGCTTTTTAACAACGTCTTGAGTGAGATCAATAATCATAGCTAAGGTATAAATAATAATATATTATAAAAAGTATCCTTAATTAAATGTTTTGAAAAGTTTGAGATATAATCTTACGCTGTTGCCTGCTTAATCTAGGAGCTGCTGGTGCAAGTGCTTGCATGGCATCTAATTCTGCTTGTACTTCAGGGTCAGGCAACCAATCTGGATCAACCACTTTTGCTCGTGTACTTAAATAATTATATAAATATGAACAAAATTAACAAAATCATTGTACAAATGCCAAATATTTTGATCCTATCATATACTTTTTTGTTGATGCCCAATCTATGTCAAATAAAAATCCATCATACTCTCCTCCATACTCTATTGCATCTTCAGCACTATCTCTTTCAACGTAATCAATTGTGCAACTCATTTGCTGTGGTCTAACATACATTGTAGCAATTTTGCCAAATTGTGCAAAATGTTGCTTTGCTACCCCCTTATTAAGTAATGCCTCTGGTATGTCTGTACAGCTAAAATAAGAATTAATTAAAAAATAGAGTTCGGCTACGTATTTTATTATTGAATTATAAACTGTCCTAAGTAGGAAAACAAAAAATAATAAAGGTAACCCTTCTGTCGACAAAACTACTGATATGGATAGTCTGTGTATAGTTCTGTCGATACAATCGTATATTAACAGCAAAGACTTTCTTGGTTCTTAATTAATAAATTGTAAATGATCAAAATAATTTTGGACAGCTTTTTTCAATAGCAATGGTTTTTCAAGTAGGCATTAATCAGAAGAAAATTTTCGTTTTTTCTATAAAATACGGACTTGATATCTTAATTTAAATGAAAGAACTTTAATTAAGTTCTTACACTCTTATCAAATATGTGATAATTATTACATTACTGGTAATATTTATTAACGATTTTAGGTTATATTTACCATATAGAATAACGCTGGAGTTTCGATTCATTGTTGGAATCCATTGCTGATAAATGTCTATGAAACTTATGATGCACTTTAAATTTAGGACATTTATATTTTTTAATCCATTTAATATATTTTAATTAATTAATTAGTAACATTTGTATTACAACATTTCTGATATCTGTAAAATGACAACCAAAACAAAACATCCCTGCTGCAGCAAACAGTTGTACCAATCTCATCCGTTAGTGAATAAATCCGTTATTCAAATTCAAATTTAATACACATTAATATATTTATTATATTATATACATATATATTACATTATATATATTATAATATTTATGTATATTCATTCTAGAATACATATGCATATATACACATAACCGAAAAATATTGTAATTGTAATTAACAATCATCATTGTTATTAAATTTTATATTTTTCTAATTTCTAACATATTTTATATTTTAATAACATATGCATAAAGGACTAAAGTAGAAAAACTAATCTAATAATCCAAATATTATAGCATACCTTCCCTTATACAAAACGAATCTTATATAAAGTTTAGGCCAAATTTTAATTATAAAGCTCTTTTTATGTGTAAAAATGCTTCAAAGAAATCATGGAAAATAATACAAATGTTCCAAATTGGTTGTTTATTTTCAGAAAATTCTTGGAATAATACTTTTAATATTTTATAATTATTAATAATTTCTTAGCTTTATTTCCTAACTATCTGAATATCATATCATTAATGTAGTCTATGAAAAATGGGTACATAAAATAGAAGTAGTGTTTATAAAATTTAAATTATATTTTTGAAAATATTTTATTTAGAATTTCTGTAGATATTCATACATTATTTTAATACTTAATATTTTCTATCTAATATTCTAATATTATACCTATTAAATAATCTAACTTCTGGAAATATCTTGCAGCTTTTAAGCGCTTCTGAGGGAAACCCAAACCCGAACTGAATGTTAACCCAGTCGTCTTTTAACCCTGTTTTCAATAAAAATAGAATAAGTTCAAAAATGTTTACTATCATTTAGCATTATTAACAAACAAGTTACTTTGAATTTAAAATTAAAAATACTTCAAATTTTATTATTTGTTTAATTTAATTACTTGCACTAAAACTGGCATTCTTACTTTTTCTTAAAACATGGTTTATTGGCATAAGGTGAATCGTGGACGCTTGTGTAGATTCTTGCTGTTTGCGAGCTGCGAAAATCCTTAAAAAAAATTACATTATATATAATTTGATATACAATAAACTAGTAAAAATAATATATAATCACTTTAATAATATTTCTTCTATTTTTTGCAGTTTTCAATTTGAGTTTATCTATTTCTTCCTTAAGTGGTCCTTCCATTATTCTAATACAACTTTCCCTCAGTTCCTAATAGACAAGTTGATTCATTTATCAGTTGAATATATTTAAGTATGTATATCCATTTAAATACTTACGTCTTCAATTAAAATGCCATGTTCAATGCACATTTCGGATAATTTCATAAAATCGTTTATAAATTCGTGTATTTTTTCCGGTATTTCGTCTATAAGAGATGTTTGGGCGTGTTTGCAGTAAGCCTGAAATGATAACTTATCAGTCAAAGGAGTCTTATTTCTTATGAAAGATCAAGATTGATACTAAAGTGCTAAGAGATTATAATATCCATATTTCAATTAACTTTTATTTAAATAATTTAAAATGCGTATTTCAATAACCTGAAGTCCCCTTAAAACAATTTGGTGAGCCACGAGCAACTTTTGGCAAGTTTCGTTAGTTAAAACTTCTGTTTTCCTGGCGGCGGTAAACAATTTTCCTAACTTAATAATCTGTGAAATAAATCGGCATTTATTTATCCTGCGATTAATATTATTTTGCTTAACTGTTCTTAACATTACCTGTCTCTGAAAATCATAAACATAATTTCTAGAAAATCTTGAATAAAATTCTATGTCTCGTTTTTGTGATTTCAGCAGTTCTTCTGGTGAATCAGCATCTAAATATCTCTTAGGCGATATCGTCTTCCTACAAGTAAAATTATCATAATAAAGAAAACTAATTTAAAAATTAAATTAATTGATTGAATTACAATTCATCGAGAGCTTCCGCAATTTTGAATCGACTTTTGTCAATTTTATCCTTAAAAAATGGGTCAGCAATTATGTAATCGTTCAAACTAAGTATCTTTTTTCCATTATCAATCTCATTAGTTATTGAAGAATTATTGCGCAAATCTGTGTTAATAGACATTTTGAATGAATGAAAATCATGGAATGATTCAATGTCGTCTGATTCGTTTTCATATAACTCTTGGAGTATTTGTTCTGTGCTAAAGCTTAATCGTCGTGATTTTTCCAAAATTTTATCACGATCTATATGACAATTTTTGAATAAATCTGAATTATTGCTGATATCTTCGTCCAATTCAGTTATGCTATCGAAGTATTCAGAATTGAGTTCTTCATTCAGACTTTCAAGATTGATTTCAGGTACAAAATATTTTGAATTTATTTTAAAATCAGTTTTAACTGGTGATGATTTTGGTCGTATTGATTTTTGCTTTTTGAGTAACCTCGTTTCTCCTATTCTAATATCTGGTAGACTTTCTGAGTCTATTTCGACGATACTTGGTCTATTTACTTCATTAGATTCGTCCAACGAAATTTCCAGGAATTTTGAGCATGTGTTCTTTATATTTTCTTGCTATGAGGTAAAAATTAGTGTTTTATTATTTTTTGTTTTATATAATGGTTTTATTAAATACTGAAGTGAATAAAATTATTGAATTGAAATTAGGGTGAAAAATCTTGTCAACTGTCATAGGTATTAATCTGATGTCATTTTTTCTACGCAATTTATGAAATTTCAAATATTCAAATTGCAAACAACCTGATATTAATAAAAAGATTTATTCATGGACATTGCTGCATTAAAATTATAAATATATGATCCTATTAGTTAATTATATATTTAAAAGTTACCAGAAGTATATTAGGGCAATAGCTAGATTTTGAACAATCAGGCCAGTGCGCATGATCTTTAAATAGATTTTCTGCATTGAAGACTTCGCTTTCATGGAAATCTTCCCAAATACGAAGTTCTGACTTCCTTTGTCGATTTCGTTGTACTTTTTTAATAACTTGACTCAGATCTTCTTCTATTACATACTACAACATCAAAATAAAATTTAAAATATATATTTTTTATTAGTAGAGCTAATTGTAGTGATCCACTTCATTTCATTTTCTTTACCTTCATTTGATCACCAGGCTCAAAATTATCACTAGTTTCGCACAAATCGACCATATTTATACTTTATGAAATATATTGCCAATAAAGCTGATAAATAATAAATTATTTGGATAACTGTTTACATATGTTAATGTTGTATGATGTTGCCAAGTTCGAGCGATGCTCGCTCGTTCCTATAGTAACAGTCATAATAATAAAATTAATTGCCATCGTGAATCAGAATTTTAGAGGTTAGTCATGTGTAGTTTATAGATTAAACTACATAGGTACTCATGATAGAAAAAAAAGTGAACAAATTAATGATTTCAAAGAGAAAATAACAGATGTTTCAAAATAAAGAACCATTTAAAACTGCCGATGGTGTTGTTTGTTCGAGAATAAAATTGCCACCAATTCGACAACGTCCTACTTTTGTTCTTCACAAGGTGGCACCTTTGCTGGAATTAGAACCATCGGTTTTAGAAAATCTAACACTTAAGGTAATAATAATAAATTGAATTAATTTTTATTTGATGGAAAAATGTTGTGCAACCTGCTTGGTATCAAGGATGCCAATGGCAGTACATTTAGTAATTTTTAGAAAATATAAGCGTTAACTTATTGTTTCAAAATTTTCTCACATGGACATTTTAATTGGAAATAAATAAAAGGCCTGTAATTGTTTGTATACAAATTATATAATTCTAAATGCAATTGTTATAAACTTTGCAATTTCAAACACATTTGCGTATTCTTCATTATAATCTCTGTAAGTATATGTAAAATAAAGTAAAAAATATTTTAAGTATCTTGATTCGTATATTATTATCGATTCTCTTCTTAACCATTTTGTATTTGCGCCACCCTTAAACTGAGGTAAATGACTACACATTACCACAAATTACAAGTGATTCCGAAAAAATTCTAGTAAAAACATAATCCTGTCTAAAAATTTTGTAATTGATACTGAATGTACAAAAAAATTATGCGCATCGTGTTTTAAAGGTACAGCTTAGATCACCTAGAAGTTTTGATTGCTGTTAAATGAATAAATATATCCATATATATTTAATATATTTGTATATTTAATGGTAAAAACTAATAAGAAGAAATGTTTGATATCTTAAATATTGTTTTTGTGCAAACTATGTGTAGGAGGTGATTCCTCCCAGTATCAAAATCAATATGACGCATGCGCCCTTAAATGCACATAGTACTTGTAAAAAGGCGTGGATTTGACCATATGCAGACTAATATTAGTAGTTTTTGTGCAATAATAATGATACAATAAATTAACAAAATCTTAATTGGTTTATGTGAAAATGATTAATTGAACGGTAATTATTAATCGAGCAAGCCTGGGCGTAAGTCTGCTCAAATGAAAGGATTATTATTGAAGGTAGAGTGATCAGTCGGCCGGTGTTTGTGATTTACCAGTTTCTTATTTATCAATAGTAGAAATAGTTGATTCAATCCCATTTACATAAACGAAATAAAAATCAAAATATCTTGCTTTTATAAATATAAAAAACATTGGATCAGCTGCCTAATTTTTGTCAAATTCAACCCGCAAAGAATAAGGCTTCAAATCATAAGATTTTTAATGTCTAATAATATTCTTAGATATTGCATTAAGTAGCATATTTTTATTAGGCGCCGTATAAATATTATTATTTAAATTGTTCTAATTAAGAGAATTTAATCTTGTTACAGTAAATTATTGTTCAATTTTTAAATATAAACATATGACACTATAACGTAATGTAGTATTTTTTCCTATGAGTCATATCATCGCGGTGCATATATTTGCATTCATTTCCACGAACTCTATCGACACACTAGGAAGTTATTATACTATATATTATTTCAGAAATAAATATTTAAAATTTGGGAGAATAAAATCTAAACTTCAGTATTTAAAATTATATTGTGAACCTAATAACTTAATATAATAATCCAGTGATCGTTTTCGATATGGCATCAAAAGTTTTAGTAAAAATGCCGTCGGTATCTTTTCCACAGGTATGTATAAATAGTCAGTGATAATTATTAGAACATGTTAAGAATGATATCATGTTTATAATATTTTTTTAAATATTGGAATTTTTAAATAGTTGAGTTGGAGTATACCAACAAACCTATCAATTTTATATTTGTTATTATGAGTTTCACTTAATTATTTAATATTTATAGGATATTCCTCAAAACAACAATGGAAATACTGGTGACGAATCTTATCAACAACAAATTGACAAATCAAATTTGGGTAACCCGACAAAAGCGAATCAAAATAACCAGCGCAATGTTCATGAACCAAGTTCTCCTCCATTGTACCCACCAAGACCTCTGGATCCGATAATAAGATTTTTGCAAGAACAACATCAGTTGATGTTAGCTGGTTTGCATGCTGAGATTGAGTCTCTAAAGAAGAAAAATACAGGTAAATAGTGTTCTAGAACGGTTGATTTAAATTATATTACAAGACCATGAATAATACCAATGAATTCGAGTCTTTAATGCTATCAAAATAAAATTTTCATTTATAATATATTTTAGAGCTCCAGTTTCAATTGGTTTTCTCCAAAAATAAGACAAACGCCCCTTGCAGCATTCCTTCGTCTCCGGAAGATGATTCTAAATCTCAGGTCTGTTTTATTCATCCTAATAATATACGATATTAATTAACTAAATTATAATTATCGATTGCACTCTGTTTAGATTTCTTTAAGCCCAAAAGAGATCAATGAATCGCCGCTTCAAGTTGAGCTTTTAGAAAAAGAGTTATCGGAAACTAAATTGTCTCTACAACATGCGAACACAAGAAGTGCGTGTTTGGCCGCTTTGGTCGACGAGCAGAATAAGTAAGTTTTTGTTTCCAACTACTATTTTTGTTACACATTTATAATAATGTGTAACAAAAATGTAAATTTTTGTTTATCACATTTTTTTATTAGAAAAATCGAAGCATTACGAGCTACAGGCTCCGAAGAAAAAGATCCTGATCCAGATTTGCAACATGCTTTGCAGGAATCTGAGAGACTTGTGAGATGCTTGCGCAGAGAAAACGACGAACAAAGAAGAGAGGTAATATTTCCATTACTATGCTGCTTATTTTTATACTTTTGTTTTTTATAATTGAACTGTTATGATTCAGTTAGCTTCCTTAAGGGCCGCAGTGGCTGGTCAGGAGAATGCAAATCAAAATCAAGCTTGCGCAAGCAATGGACGTGGCCAACGTGGAAGAAATCAACCTAATGCAAGAAACAACGCAGGAAACAACCGCAATATGGGCAATCACCAATCAGGAAGACAAGGTGGTCACCAATATGAACAACAACGATTTCCAAGACTTCCTACACAAAACTTCTGGCACCAAAACGGGTAAATTGCATATATAATAAGTGCAGTTTATATTTAAACTGAAAATAAAAACATTTTTGTCTACAGAAAAATGGACGAGAACGAGAAATCGGATCCAAATTTTCAAGGTGCATTACAAGAAGCTGAACGAGTAGTCAGATGTCTTCAAAGAGAAAATGATGACCAGAGAAGAGAAGTTAGTATTATAGATTAAGTTTATTGAGTGCAAATATCAATTCATTATAATTTATATTTCAGTTAGCAACATTAAGGGCTGCTCTTGCTGGTCAAAATCAACCCGGTGGCAGTACACAACGCAGTCAGCGCGGAAAAAATCCAGCAAATCCTCGAAACAATAGTGGAAATAATCGTCATCAGACTGGAAGGCAGGGCGGACACCAATACGAACAGCAGCCAAGATTTCCTAGATTGCAATCACAAAGCTTTTGGAACCAAAGAGGCCAAGATTTTGGGAACTCGGAGAGATAAATTAGAAGAACTTTTAGAACATCTAATTTAAGTAGAAAATTGCTCAAATAACTGCGATCACTGTGTTGTATCCATGATAATATTGCTTGCATTAATTATTTCATATGTATTCATATTGCACTCATGTTATCAATCAGATTAATAATTAAATTCTATTTAATATAGAAACGTATACTGAATAACTAACAACTGATCAATATTAAAGTACAGTTTCCTTCACTGAAATACAATAAATTAGCGACAAATATACAATTATAAATATTTCATTAATTCTATTGAGTAATACATAATGTTAACTGTGATTCCTTTTATATATATAAGTATGCTATATATGTTGTTGTGAACAATAGGCTAATCTAATTATATTATAGCTAACATATTATAATATTACATTTTCATAATATAATGAAGTGTTCTTTGAAATATATTTCATTGTTTCTAAACTGAGGTTTACTTTTAATGAATCAAATATATACATGATTTCATAAAATTATAATATAGGTTTAAGATCACGAATTCAACGATAATTCTAATATGTGTTCTGTTTTCAAAAATATAGAATATAAAATCAAATTTAATAAAATAAACGGTTTTCTACCCCTGGTTTGTTCCACGTTTTGCACTATTATTTTGGCGCTCTTTTAAATGTCAGATGTCCGCGCAAACGTTCACCTGCAACATGTGAGGTTAAGCTGTTCGTCAATTGTTGAATTTTCAGTTTCTTTAATTTTATTATCATAACTATTATTTTTAATATGAAATAATTTTATTTATGTTAATGAGGAGTGTGCTTTTATGAATCATATTTTATAAAAATCATTTTTAACTGCATAACTTGATTGTTCTTATATTATTGTTATTTTAATTTTTTGTTTTATAATATAATTTGAAAAAATAAACAATATGACTAAATCTATTGTGGTACAAGAAGACTTAAAAGAGAACTTAAATGGAAACAATGAACTAATAACTGAAAAAGACAAAGAAAAGGCTCTGAAAAAGTATGTTTGTAATTAGAATAAATGAAAATTAAGAGTAATTATTTATCATAATTCTATATTTCAGAAATAGCACAAATTCGATACAACCGACTATCTCAAGCATGTTCAAACGTAAACGAAAGGTATTAAATCAACAATCTAAAATGTCGAAAGGTATTTATTGAGAATATTCATTACATTAGTTGCCATATTTATTTTAGGCTTCAGAAGACAATGATGTTAAACCATTATCTGATAAAAGTAATGAAAATCAGAGTCTTATTGAACCAGAATCTAAAGATACAAACGATGAAGGTCTTATGAAGAAAATTAAGATGTCCGGTAATAATAATTTAACTTCATTTTCTTTTTAAAATTTATATATCACCTTCTCACAGCGTTTAAAATTTTTTATATTTTTAACTATGGAATTCAATTCTAGAAACGGTGCGATGTAAAGACTGCTATCAAATAGATGGTCATAGCAACGTTTCATACTATGAAGGCCATCCTGTTGGAGCTCTGTCAGAATTAGAAGCAATGTTTCACAAAAATGTTGCACTGATTGAAGGGCATGAGTTGGAACGAGCACAGTTTAAACTAACAGAATTTTCAGTATTTTGTAAATCTAGTCATATGTGTTCTTTTGATACAGGTTTAATTGAAAAGAATGTCAAACTTTACTTTTCGGGATATATGAAATGTATTATTGATGAAAGTACTGGTATAGATTCAGCTGTACCAATGTACAGCGAAGCTCCTATTGTGGAATGGTAAATATTTCAGTTGATGCTTTCCAAATTTTGTTATCTTTTGCCTTGTATATTTTTCAAAAACAGGCAGTATCAAATTTAGAGAAAATAGTTCTTATTTTGTCTCAATAATATTTTTTCAGGTGGATTTCTGGATATGATGGGACACAGCATAGTGTTGTAGGCTTCTCCACAGAATACGCTGAATATTATTTAATGAAACCTAGCAAAAAATATGCCAATATAATGCAGTCGACTTATGAAAAAGCTGCTATGTCGAAAGCTTTTATAGAATATTTGTTGGATAATTGTGAAACTGACCCATCCTATGAGGACATGCTGGCACATTTGCAAGCATGTGTACCTCCACAAGGTTTTGATCCTTATACTGAAGAATCTATTTTGAGACATGCACAATTTATTTGTGACCAGGTATTATAGTATTAATATATAAATATATAAGTTAGATTTTATATCATTTTGGTTTGTTAGATTGCATCCATTGACTCCTGTGAACCTGAAGAAACACCTTTAATAACTTTACGGTGTATAAGAACACTTATTAATCTGGTAGGAATAAAATTCACAAAATCAGCTACAAAAAAGTCTGATAAGTCAGCACTGAAAAGAAAGAGGGTTTTTACTAAAGCTACAACTACTGCTATAGTACAGGAGGTATAATATTTACATCACAAATATAATTGTACAAACAAAATCTATTCAAACATATACTCAAACCAATGTTGTTTCTTTTTTTGATTGGAATAGATATTTGAGTCATTTTTCCCTGAACAATTGGATGGGGAAAACAAATCATTAACATTGCGACGCAAACGATGCGGTGTTTGTGATAATTGTCAAAAGCCAGATTGTGGACAATGTACAGCTTGTTTAGCCATGGTTAAATTTGGAGGTAGTGGAAGGACCAAGAAGGCTTGCCATCATAGAATTTGTCCTAACATGGCCGTACAGGTAAAAATCCTTGTTTGTGCATTTTTCTTATAAACATTAATCCACTATTAGTATCTAATTATGCAATTTAATGCCTTTTGTAATAAGTTAAATGATAAAAATTTATTTAAATATAATAATATTCAATATTTAAATATTATATATTTTGAATACTAGGAAGCTGAAGAGTCAGATCCTGAAGATGAGGAAGATTATAATGAAAAAGTGGAAGCAAAGTCCATTTTAGAGAAAAAGAAAGACACTGTTGATATGTCTTTCATTTCTGTACCAGGAAATAATAAAGCTTCATGGCTAGGAGAGTATCGGACTGAGGGCTCTTATAAATATTATAATTCCTGTCAGGTATAGTTGAAATGAGTTATTAGTATTAGATTATCTCTATCTGTGAATAACATCAGCAACTATACTCTTTTTAATTGTTCAATCAACATTTAGTCTTAATACATAGAAATAAATGTAAATTGCAGTCTTAAAATGCTGCCACTGTACAATATTATGTATTTTTGCTCTAAATTCATAGATTTCTGAAAATGTTTACCAAAACGGCGATTTTGTTATGCTAGAACATAAAGATTCATCAGAAACCATAGCTCAGATAATGTACTTTTATGAAAAATCTGGTTCAAAAATGTTTCATGTTCAATTTTACGCTCGAGGATCAGAAACTATATTAGGAAGTATAAGCCATTCGAAAGAGGTAATATTTTAATTCACATCCAGATTTTCATATGTATGAATGTTGATACATCTTTTAATTTCAGCTTTTTATATTAAATTCATGCCAATCGCTTAAGCTTGATGTTATTCGTAAGAAGGTAATTGTGGATCATAAAGTGCCGCCCAAAAATTGGGCTATGTTGGGGGGTTTCAAAGATGAAGATGATGTGGATTATGATGACTCAATGTTTTTCTTCCAAAAGAGATATGACGAGTATGTATATCCATCTCAATATCATTTTTTATTTCTACATAAATGAAGTATTTAGTTGATATACTATTTCATGTATTAATCCATTTCTATTATTTTATTTCTTCAGTAAAACTGCTCGCTTTGAGGATCCTGATATTTTGATAAATGAATTTAAAATTGATGCAGAAATGGACTTTTGTCCAAGTTGCAATTTTAATAAAATTCAAGAAGGCTATCTTATGCCTCATTTAACTGAATCAAAAGATGCAGTATTGTGGAGAGGATTGATGTAAGTTTGAATGTAACTTGATTGAATTTAAATATATTTTATCATTATTGAAAACATTACATGTTCATTTATGCATTTGTAAATTTGCAGATTTTCTGTTGGTGATGCCATTTTATTAAATTCAGATAAATATGATTTGAAAAATTATAATGAAGAAACACAACTTAAGGTATTGATTAAAATATTAGTAGTGTTTGTATCAAACTCACTGAGAAAAAATGTTTCAGGCGATTAAACTTGAAAATGTTGATGATTCTGAATATCCTGAATATTATAGGAAGGCAGATAACAACATGAGAGGCTCTAATGTATTTACAGCTCAACCATTTGGTCTAGCTTATATTTCAGAAATATATACTAAACATAAGGTAAGTTTCAGTATAATGGTCAAAGTTAATTAAATGCAATTAATTAACTTTGACCATTAATTAATAAATTTGATCAATTTTTCAGGGCTCAGAAGCATCAGATATTTATATGAAAGTTTATCGTTTATATCGTCCAGAAAACATTCCTAATATTAAGCATAGTATGCTTGATTTAAATTTAGTTTATTGGTCTGATGAGAGTAAGTGGTTATTAACTAAATTACTACATAAAAACTGTTTCAATCTTATGAATTTTTTTCTCCTGTTGCAGTGATAAGTATAAATTTCTTGGAAAATGTAGCAGGCAAATGTTATTTATTATATGCTGGTGCTACAGATATAGATATAGATGAGTGGACTGCAAAAGGTCCTTACAGATTTTATTTCAAAGACATTTACGATTATAAAGAGAAAAAAATCAAGCCAGTTACTGGAGGACTTCCTGCCAGCATTGGAAGCTCTGGCAAAGGTAATTATATAAAATAACAATGGCATGTGAAGTCTATGAATAATAAGTCTTCTAAATATTAATATAATTTCAAAAACTGGATAGTTTTTCTCTTTCAATAATTATAAGGAAAAATTTAACAAATAATTAAATAAGTGTATTAGAATAAATCTAGCAAAATGAATTTTAAGGGTTTAAATTGATCTGTAGGCAAGGGCGGTAAAGGCGGGAAGGGCAGTAGTAAATTCAAGAGTTCAGTAACAGAGAAAAAACCAAACACGCAACCTATGCCAGAATATGTAGAAGTTTGTACACCACTGAGAACTTTGGATGTATTTGCTGGCTGTGGAGGCTTATCTGAAGGTTTACATCAATCAGGAATATCGAAATCAGAATGGGCAATTGAATTTGATAGATCTGCTGCATCTGCTTATAAACTAAATAATCCAGACACAGTTGTACTAAATGAAGACTGCAATTATATTTTAAGAGATGCTATGGATGGTATGTTATTTATTTAAGCAATCTTAGATTATTGCTTTCAATCATATAAACTTTTACACATTCCTCAAATTAATAAAAAAAAATACAATTCTTAGGTATAACCCATACAAAATCAAACCAGCCTATACCTTTAAGAGGTGAAGTAGAGTTGCTTTGCGGTGGACCACCTTGCCAAGGTTTCTCCGGAATGAATAGATTCAATAAATTGGAATATTCATTATTCAAAAACTCACTTGTAGCTACATATCTTTCATATTGTGACTTCTACAGGTAATTTTAAATATAATTTTTTTGTGACATGCATGTTACTTCAAAAACAATTATTTGCAGGCCAAAATTCTTCATTCTGGAGAATGTACGCAATTTTGTGGCCTTCAAAGGAGGTATGGTTTTGAAACTAACTTTACGGTGTTTAATTGCAATGGGTTATCAATGCACTTTTGGAATTTTACAAGCTGGAAATTATGGTGTTCCACAGACAAGAAGAAGGTAATTCATAAGAAAGGTGTTTCAAGTAAATTTGAATAACATATTATTCATTCTTAAATTATAGACTTATAATTTTGGCCGCTGCACCTGGAGAAAAACTACCGACATATCCAGAACCAAGTCATGTATTCAATAGGAGAGCTTGCACATTGTCTGTTCAAATCGATGGCAAAAAGTATTCCAATAACATATTCTGGGAAGATCAAGCACCTTACAGAACAATCACTATTAGAGATGCTATGTCAGATTTACCACCTATATCCAGTGGAAATAACACCATTGAACAAGATTATGATAACATTCCCCAGAGGTAAATGATAAACATCTCATCGGATGATTTGTTTTATTTGTGTTATTCATTTTAATATTTAATTGTCAGCCATTTCCAACGTATGATGAGATTTGATGGTAAAGAAGTTCTTACAGAACATGTAGCAAAAGATCAATCAGCTTTGGTCCAAGCACGAATTTCATTAATCCCTACACATGTAGGAGCTGATTGGAGGGATCTTCCCAATCGAATCATGAAATTATTGGATGGAAAAATGTGTGATGTAAGTTTTTTAATTTTACCAGAAAATTTGAATAGTAATTCTACTTATCACTTGAAACATATGTTCTTAGTTATTGCGCTATAGTTATGATGATCGGAAAAATGGAAGGAGTCCGTCTGGTTTAAAACGTGGTGTTTGTGCTTGTGCTTCTAAAAGGCCTTGCAATTCTTATGATAGACAATTTAACACTCTCATTCCATGGTGTCTACCTCATACAGCTAATAGGCATAATAATTGGGCTGGACTTTATGGTATGTTATTTAAATCATTCACTAAATTATCTTGTTTATTTAGTTTTTTGTGCAAATTTAATAATTAGGAATATAGTAGTAAGTTATGCTTGATTTATAGGTCGTTTGGATTGGAATGGTTACTTTGGAACAACCATCACTAATCCTGAACCTATGGGAAAACAAGGAAGAGTCTTGCATCCTGAGCAACACAGAGTAGTTAGTGTCCGTGAATGTGCAAGGTCTCAAGGATTTCCTGATTGCTACAAATTTTATGGTCATATTGTTGATAAACATAGACAAGTTGGAAATGCAGTACCACCACCATTAGCTCGTGCAATTGGCATGGAGATACGCAAATGTTTAGTAACAAAATCATAGTAACATAACTGCTGCAAATGCAATTGTTTGTGATATATGCATTTATTGAAATTTATGAATTTATGAAGACTATTTATTATCCCTTAATGTTATAGTAGTTACCATGTTTTGAGGTAATTTGTAATATTTTAATAAACATTAAAATTTTAACAATTGTTTATTTTACTTTCTATTTGTACTTACTTGAATATATTGGCTCACAAATTTGCTAGAATTATTGACACAACTGGCACTTTGAATAACTGATTGTTTTGAATGATTTATGTTTAGTCAGTGTTAAAATTGTCAATCAAATAATTTCTAAATTTCATATCCAAGATATAACGTACACTAAAAAAATAGAACTATAAAATTTGTATTCAATAAATTGCATTTTAATTTTCTTGTTTAAATAGTAAAGACAGTTTGAATAAGAATTGAAAATGACTGTTGCATGACTATTGCAATGAAGTTCTGTTCAATAAGTTGTGCCAACTTTGCAGTAGAGTGAACATTTTTTAATGTTGGTAAACATGGGAGATAAGAAGTTACCTTCACAGGATATTTGAACCTTGTTTGTTGCTGAACATGATTGAGACGCCATTGCCACATATTTTTCAACATGGAAGGACGTGTGTGTCGGGCTCGATTAAAAAAAACGTGGAAATTAATTATCTCATAATGGTGTTAGTTTCGAAAGGCTATATTTATATATGTAGACGCCAGCCTACCATTTTGGTTGATGGCGATGATCTGATATTATGATAAGGAAAAATCTGGACCACGAGGTATTTAATAGCTAACTATTTCCATATTTGTTCATTGTACTTTTCTACGAATAATCACGTATTAAAATTCAATAATTTCGAATTCTATTTAATTATTAAATTTACAATGATGGTTTCATCTTTCGGGACTGAGTCTTGATGTCAAATTTTTGCTGAGTTACTTTCTAATGAATCTATGCTTCTATTTGTTTTTTGCAATATTTCAAGAGATATTTATTTCAGATAACTGTAACCGCGCCAGTTAACTCGTTCAGGATGTGGTGTAAGTACTGCCTTCATATATTCCTGATAAATAATTTTCATGATGTTTATCGTGATCCGAGGGCTGATTGTTTGTGAATGTTAACTCTTTGACTGAATTAATGAACACCCTCTTATTTATTATGGAAATCTCTACAATCTTGTAATATTTACATGATTGTATTACAGTTTATGCTGTCTGAGCATAGAGAAGCACCTGGAACCATAAATGGTAAGCACATGTTCTTCAAAATGAATATATATACAATATTTCTTATGATGGTTACATCTTTCGGGACTGAATTCTTTGATGTCAGTTTTTAGCTGAGCAAATTAAGCATAGTAATAGATTTTCGTTGCAGTTACTGAAATTCTATATAGTTTATTATTTCTTACAGGCTTCTTGAAAACATGCATCACATCTCATGTCTACACATGTATCCTGCATTGATGAGAAGGTATGTATTTTAAGTAACATTCAATATAAATTATTTGCTATGATGGTATTTCATCTTTCGGGACTGAATTCTTTGATGTAAATTTTTAGCTGAGCATATTAAGCTTTGTAATAAATTTATGCTGCAATGATTGAAATTTACTATAGTTTATATTATTTTTTACAGGGTTGTTCAAATACACATCCATACATAATGTATGTACATATATCCTGCATTAGTGAAGAGGTATGTATTTAAAGAATTTAAAAAAATTATTTGCTATGATGGTATTTCATCTTTCGGGACTGACTTATTATTGATGTCAATTTAAGCTGAGCATATTTATTCAAATTACAGTATAATTTAGTGTATTACTTAAGGCATGTTTTCAATATAATTCTTATTTCAGAGTATACACCATCCCTGTTATAGAATGCAGAATCTACTGGTGAAGGTGAGTTTGTAATTAATTTCTAATTATATACTTTATTTCATCATGATGTTTTCATCTTTCGGGACTGAATCTTGATGTCAAAATATTTGCTGATTTAATAATTAGCTTTCTTAATTCATATGTTAATGAAGCATTACTAAAACTTTTTTTTTTATTACAGGTAAGATGCAAATTGAGGTGAGACATAATGGAATATATTATATATGCTGTATTATTGTGTTAATAAAATTATTTTAATAAATTGTTGTTTATTAAGTCATTACCTTAATTTACTCATATCAGATTTTTCTCTTTCAGCTCAATTTTATTAATCATAATTATATTTTTTATGGAAATACCATAAGTTTTGTAATACCATAATAATTACCAAAATAATTTTATTGAGATGTTTTACATTTTGTAACAAATTAATGTTTGTAGCCTTAATAGCTAGGAATTATTTTTAATATTCACATTTTATTGAAGGGCAGTTCAAAAATTCACAAACTTTATTTTGTCATTAATTTAATTTTCCCTTCTAGTTTGAAATGCATAGGTTTGTGTGTTCAGATTTAGGAACAGTGATAATTGGTTATTTGTGCATCAATATAAATTGCCATATTTTTTTTTTGAGTAAGCTTTATGATGATAATTTTAAACGTATGAAAAAAAGTTTAATTTGGAATCTGCAATTTTGCAATATGCAAGTGGTAAAAATTGTTCCTGTGTCGTATTTTGTATAAGGTGAAAATAGTTTTTTTTGTAAGTCAAGTACCAGTTTTCAAATCTCATGTTCAAAGGATATCAATTGGGAATCATGCTGATTAGTTTTTGCTACAGATCGACCTGGCCACTTCTGGTAATTAATTCATATTTTTATTTTATTATTTTACTGATTTTTTGCATCGTAAGTTCATATATTATCTAACTTCATAAAATATTATAGGCATGACTCAAATTAGCATAGATATTTTTTCTATTTTTACAATAATTTTATAAACACGTGGTTGTTTTCTGAAAAATTGAATTTTGCGTTTAGTATTCTAATTATCTTGGATTTAAAATAATTACGGCAATTCATTTTCAAAATTATTAATTTAGCATCTGAAAAACTTAAGATCCTTATCAGGCGTCTGTCCCCCGCATTTTGGATAACAAATATCCGGCTTCTATACACGTCGGGTCATTTCATGATAGATAACATGGCCAAAAAGAATTCTCCATCCGCTCATGATAAAAACTGTTGTATGGGGACAATGGTATATATTGTCTTATTATTGCCCTAAATTTTGCTAAAACATCTTAATAATTTTGCACATTTTTATTAATGTTAAAGAAACGGCGCGAGCGATCGCTGCACAAAATTAATCAACTCAAATCGTTTGAGTTTCATCAAATGAAATTTAACATATGGAGAAAGCATAAAATCAGAAAATCGGATTTTCTCGCATAAAAAAACTTTTTCTTTGGTAAATTCATAATTTTAAATTTAATAAAAAACTTAAATTATTATTTTACATATCAATTTTTTAAATAAACGGTTGGGCCGATCAATTGATAATCGTGGACCAAAAATTGTATCCATACATACATACACACACATCTATCAAATTTTTTCTAAGGCATGCCAAAATGTTCAGAAACTTTTGTAAAGTATAAATATATGCAAAAAAATTCATTTTCTATTTTTTGACGATTATTATATCTAACCCTGCAAGTAGTTTATAAATATTTCAAGTTGTTCCTAATGAAACACTCTGTTAAGAGGATTTTTAAGGAGCCGGAGTGCTAGTAATGCATGGCATCGTGCCTTAAGGGAAGTTGCTGGAACTTCTCGTACTGAAATAAAATTTTCTAAAAAAACTAAAAATTTTCGAAAATTTTGAAAAAAATCTATTTTTGAGAATTTTGAAGAAAATAACTTGAAAAATTTAGTTCTTTTATATTTCGAAAATTTTTGAGTATTTTGAACTTTTGTCAAAGCATTCGCTCTGCTTAGCTGTTTTAAAGAGCAGATATCGAAGCGTCGTTGCCCAAAGGATTTAATATTGGTACGGAACCTATAGAAATATGAACAAACTTTGTATCAATTATCAAAATCTCTATAAAATATCTGTTAATTTGATGTGCAAATGTCTAATTGTTATTTTTGACCGCCAAATGGCATTTTTTACATTTTTTATTGGATCTCGGAAACCGCTGGACCTGCCTTCCCAAAAATTTTAGCAGTTCTTCGCTTCGTCTTACGAATAAAATGCTTTTTGAATCATTCATATCGGACGCTCCGTTCTCTCAAAAACTGAATTACCATTTTTGGCACTTTTTGCCCTATACCATTTTGGTATCTTCGAAACGCCTGGACCTTTGCCTTTGCCAAAAACTAATCAGCACATGTTCCCAGTAATACAAAACGAATGTTGTTTGAATTATTCAAATCGGTTGTTCCGTGCTCTCTAAATCGGCGGCGAAAAAATTGTATCCGCACATACATACACACACACACAACCATCAATTTTTTCTAAGATATGCCAGAATGTTCAGAAATGTTTGAAACGTAACAGTACATAAAAATTTACATTTTCATTTTTTTGAGATTTCTATAAAACTTACCTTACGAAAAATTAAATATTGATTGATAGTCCAAATAGCACGATTGATAGTCTTAATACCATAATACATAATGGGTTGTACTCATAGAGATAAATAACGATAAGTATAAATGGTTATACTGTGTAATATTTCTAGTAAGCTATTTTAACTGGCGCTTGTATTACACTTGTATATAAAACAGTAGTGCATCGGTCTGCCCTTTACAAGCAGATATTTCAAAATTGCATTTGTATATCTGGAACAAATGCATCATACAGATCCATTTGCATCTATAAAGTATAAACTTAATGCTCGTGCTTCAGACGCACGTCTTTTCTTATTTGGTTGATGAGTGCTTTTGGTCATGTGGTGGGAGTCGTAATGAAATGGTACAGAGAAACAGCCTTACAGCCGCCGCGCTTGTGTGTGTTTCTTTATTCTTTTCCTCGTTCCAGCAGACACAACGTGCATCTGATCTCCAACATCTAATACATACAAGTAAACATGCTTTAACTCGACGCCTGCCAGTGCCTAGTATTTAGTATTTCTTAGTTTTGTGAATGAAACATACACACGACTGTGCTTTTAATAGAAAAGTGGATAAATTCAAGCTGAAATGTTCAATTAAAAATGTTATCACACCCGTGAATTAGTGTATGTTGTGGCTTTTAAGTTTTAAATAACCATGTTTAGTGGGATTAACGCTATTTGCTATATAGCATGTGTTAGTTTGTTATTAAATTGCATGAGAACAGTGCTTGGTCAAGAATCCCATGGGCATGGAGGTTCCACGAAATGCTATGATAACTTCAACAGACCTCAGGTACATTTTATCTTTCTTACACACTTATGGAAAGTTGAACAACTTGCATACTTTATTAGTAAAAATGCTAATTTTAGGCAATTTTACTATTAAATGATATTTTTTGCTTATTATTGCTGTATACTATTTATTTTCATGTTTATATCATTTATTCACTTTTAAAAAAAAATAATTATGAAATTATCATATCTAAATTATGAAATATCATTATCTAAATTATGAAAATATCATATATTAACAAAAATCATTTAATTCAGTACACACAGCTTCATCTAATGTTAATAGAACCAAGTCTTGGAAATATGCACTTTTCCAACTGTTGTACACTTTAAACAAATCAAAGCTTTGAAAATATTATTATAGTATTTTAAAATATATAATATCCAAAAATATCAAATTAAAGCTTTGAAAATATTATCATAATATTGTAAAATTTATATATCCAAAAATAACAAATTAGAGTTTTGAAAATATTATTATAATATTTTAAAGTATCTAATTGTGCAGAATATTATAATGTTACTTCACAAATTACTCGTATAATTAGTTGAATTGCAATCTACAAAGTTCAGAAAAGAGTTCGAGTTTTTGTATCAAATCAAAATCTTAGTTCACAAAATGTTCGTCTGATTGATTAATTTTTAATCCTCAAAGTTCAGAAATTCAAATTTTCTACAACTATCAAATTTTCTATTTGATAGTACAGAAATGAGTCTGGGTAAAAAAATAAAACAGTCACTATTAATTTGATTAAAAATTAATTAGTTTACAAAATTTTCATTTGATTCATTAATTTTCAACCCTCAATGGAAGTTCAGAAAAAAGTAGAATATCACGTTTTGTGCTTTTAAAAGCTCAAATTTGTCTTTGCATTGGATCTAAAACTATTTGCTAGCACAGAACTTAATTTGGATAATAAAATAATACAGTTACTGTAAATTTTATTAAAAACTTATTAGCAAATCACAAAATGTTTACAACATGCTTAACTAATTTTTAATAATTTAATAATTTAAAAGCCAAATTTATTTTTGCGTGGAATTAAAAGCTCTTTGATGGTAATAGCGTTACTATCAATTTCATTAAAATATAATTAGCTTAACAAAATACTCTACTGATTTTGGAACTAAATCAAATAAATTTTTAATTTAATTGTATTGCAATTTAATCACATAGATTAGGAAGTAAACCTAACTGTTAATTATTGTTATACTTATTATATAGCAAACAATTGCTTTTAATTATCCTTAGTCATTTAGTCAATTTAGTCAATTTTATTGCTTTATAGTTCAGTAAAATATGTTGCATTTTTTATTTGATGTACTGATAATATAAGGCTTTTGCATAGTATAAATACTCATTCAATATTAAATTCTTCAGTACTCATATTGCTACAAACTGATGTTTTGTTATGGTTATATCAAATTAAAACTTTTAAGGTAGAAAAAGATAAAGCATATACAAAAAATACATCCTGCAGCTAATTTTTTTAAGCAAAATAATTTCTTTATTACTATATTTGTTCTTATCAAATTTAAGAATTTGATGGCCTTTGGCATCATCTTCCTTTCCTTCCGTTTATTATCAGCATTTATACATTTTTTTTAAAGCCGTGCAGTATTTTTAGTACATAAAATTACTTAAATTGAATTCATGCAGCAGTTTCTGAATTTATAATGTCACATTTAAATGAATATTTGAGAATATAATGAGATCATGTGTTTCGTTTGAAAGACCTGCTACAGATAAGAACAGGATGTGTGTTGATACAGTAAATATTTCCGATTAAATAC